TGAAACTTAGTGAAAAGTGATCTTGTAGAGAATTGCCTTATCTACAACATATCGACATTTCAAAGAGAATCGATGAATATTGAGAGAAATACACTACATTTTCCATAAATACAATGACGTCATAATATGCAATTTTGTATTTTTGACTTCCAAGGCCATTATGATGCCGTCAAGATGTACTTAATGGCCAAATGAGATATGAAATCATACCTCCGACTCATACTCTATCTAAATATGAAAAAAAAATTGGCAATCCCTATTCATCCCAATGGACTTTTCATAGGCATGTTTTTGCCCATATATGCAATGTATTACAAAAATCGCGCGTACGGACGGTTATCTTGAACGGACGCTCATTCCGTTTTTAATAGTGATAAAGAGCTAAACATGGTATCAAATTTTCCGGAAAAATATGAGGAATATTCGGTCAAGAGCTTTTGCGGAGAAATTATTTTTCGTTCGGCCGTGACGAACGAAAACGTGCAAAAATGCGTGTTTTGCGTGATTTTTTATGAAATGCTTAAAATGGCCTGAAACGTATGCAAAAAAAATTTAAGACGATTTTGAGCAATTTAAAATTTTACGCGCGCATTGACGCGCGCGCCTACGCGTACGCGCATTTTTGCGCGCATTTATTGACCTCATATTGATCCGACGGATATTGATCTTAATCTTGATAAATATGAATGTAAAATTACTTTCCGTTATGAAGATATGATCATAAGTTGATTTTTACAAAATGGCGCCTGGATGACGTCACGATGACTTTGAGTCTTTGAAAAGTCACGCAGTTCTAAGTTAGACTAAGATCTATCATCAGTGAAAGATTCATAACAATGGCTTTATTGAGTCTTGAGATATCCTGCGAACAAATTCGAGGAAGAATAATAAATAAAAAAAAAAAAAAATAAAAATCTTGACGAAATCAAAAGGTGATACGTTGACTTCGTTACGTATCACCTAATGATACGTATACTTTGTACGCATCACCTAATGATTCCTTCAAAATTTGCAATTTCAACTTTCGATTGAAAATTTCGATATGATCCCAACATCTGATCGAAAAACAAAGTACACCGTTTTTATAGCCCATGGTCTCAGCTATAACATACCCCAATTTGGGAGAAAACAGAGCACACATACGATAGATAGTGCTCATAGATGAATGCCATGTAGATTCATGATGTGAACGAAATTCACCTTCCATAGACATAACACGCAAATGACGAAAATTCTGACATGTGGCCTTTAATTGAATTTTGTACTATGATGACCTCATTAAAATGAAACTTAGTGAAAAGTGATCTTGTAGAGAATTGCCTTATCTACAACATATCGACATTTCAAAGAGAATCGATGAATATTGAGAGAAATACACTACATTTTCCATAAATACAATGACGTCATAATATGCAATTTTGTATTTTTGACTTCCAAGGCCATTATGATGCCGTCAAGATGTACTTAATGGCCAAATGAGATATGAAATCATACCTCCGACTCATACTCTATCTAAATATGAAAAAAAAATTGGCAATCCCTATTCATCCCAATGGACTTTTCATAGGCATGTTTTTGCCCATATATGCAATGTATTACAAAAATCGCGCGTACGGACGGTTATCTTGAACGGACGCTCATTCCGTTTTTAATAGTGATAAAGAGCTAAACATGGTATCAAATTTTCCGGAAAAATATGAGGAATATTCGGTCAAGAGCTTTTGCGGAGAAATTATTTTTCGTTCGGCCGTGACGAACGAAAACGTGCAAAAATGCGTGTTTTGCGTGATTTTTTATGAAATGCTTAAAATGGCCTGAAACGTATGCAAAAAAAATTTAAGACGATTTTGAGCAATTTAAAATTTTACGCGCGCATTGACGCGCGCGCCTACGCGTACGCGCATTTTTGCGCGCATTTATTGACCTCATATTGATCCGACGGATATTGATCTTAATCTTGATAAATATGAATGTAAAATTACTTTCCGTTATGAAGATATGATCATAAGTTGATTTTTACAAAATGGCGCCTGGATGACGTCACGATGACTTTGAGTCTTTGAAAAGTCACGCAGTTCTAAGTTAGACTAAGATCTATCATCAGTGAAAGATTCATAACAATGGCTTTATTGAGTCTTGAGATATCCTGCGAACAAATTCGAGGAAGAATAATAAATAAAAAAAAAAATAAATAAAAATCTTGACGAAATCAAAAGGTGATACGTTGACTTCGTTACGTATCACCTAATGATACGTATACTTTGTACGCATCACCTAATGATTCCTTCAAAATTTGCAATTTCAACTTTCGATTGAAAATTTCGATATGATCCCAACATCTGATCGAAAAACAAAGTACACCGTTTTTATAGCCCATGGTCTCAGCTATAACATACCCCAATTTGGGAGAAAACAGAGCACACATAAGATAGATAGTGCTCATAGATGAATGCCATGTAGATTCATGATGTGAACGAAATTCACCTTCCATAGACATAACACGCAAATGACGAAAATTCTGACATGTGGCCTTTAATTGAATTTTGTACTATGATGACCTCATTAAAATGAAACTTAGTGAAAAGTGATCTTGTAGAGAATTGCCTTATCTACAACATATCGACATTTCAAAGAGAATCGATGAATATTGAGAGAAATACACTACATTTTCCATAAATACAATGACGTCATAATATGCAATTTTGTATTTTTGACTTCCAAGGCCATTATGATGCCGTCAAGATGTACTTAATGGCCAAATGAGATATGAAATCATACCTCCGACTCATACTCTATCTAAATATGAAAAAAAAATTGGCAATCCCTATTCATCCCAATGGACTTTTCATAGGCATGTTTTTGCCCATATATGCAATGTATTACAAAAATCGCGCGTACGGACGGTTATCTTGAACGGACGCTCATTCCGTTTTTAATAGTGATAAAGAGCTAAACATGGTATCAAATTTTCCGGAAAAATATGAGGAATATTCGGTCAAGAGCTTTTGCGGAGAAATTATTTTTCGTTCGGCCGTGACGAACGAAAACGTGCAAAAATGCGTGTTTTGCGTGATTTTTTATGAAATGCTTAAAATGGCCTGAAACGTATGCAAAAAAAATTTAAGACGATTTTGAGCAATTTAAAATTTTACGCGCGCATTGACGCGCGCGCCTACGCGTACGCGCATTTTTGCGCGCATTTATTGACCTCATATTGATCCGACGGATATTGATCTTAATCTTGATAAATATGAATGTAAAATTACTTTCCGTTATGAAGATATGATCATAAGTTGATTTTTACAAAATGGCGCCTGGATGACGTCACGATGACTTTGAGTCTTTGAAAAGTCACGCAGTTCTAAGTTAGACTAAGATCTATCATCAGTGAAAGATTCATAACAATGGCTTTATTGAGTCTTGAGATATCCTGCGAACAAATTCGAGGAAGAATAATAAATAAAAAAAAAAATAAATAAAAATCTTGACGAAATCAAAAGGTGATACGTTGACTTCGTTACGTATCACCTAATGATACGTATACTTTGTACGCATCACCTAATGATTCCTTCAAAATTTGCAATTTCAACTTTCGATTGAAAATTTCGATATGATCCCAACATCTGATCGAAAAACAAAGTACACCGTTTTTATAGCCCATGGTCTCAGCTATAACATACCCCAATTTGGGAGAAAACAGAGCACACATAAGATAGATAGTGCTCATAGATGAATGCCATGTAGATTCATGATGTGAACGAAATTCACCTTCCATAGACATAACACGCAAATGACGAAAATTCTGACATGTGGCCTTTAATTGAATTTTGTACTATGATGACCTCATTAAAATGAAACTTAGTGAAAAGTGATCTTGTAGAGAATTGCCTTATCTACAACATATCGACATTTCAAAGAGAATCGATGAATATTGAGAGAAATACACTACATTTTCCATAAATACAATGACGTCATAATATGCAATTTTGTATTTTTGACTTCCAAGGCCATTATGATGCCGTCAAGATGTACTTAATGGCCAAATGAGATATGAAATCATACCTCCGACTCATACTCTATCTAAATATGAAAAAAAAATTGGCAATCCCTATTCATCCCAATGGACTTTTCATAGGCATGTTTTTGCCCATATATGCAATGTATTACAAAAATCGCGCGTACGGACGGTTATCTTGAACGGACGCTCATTCCGTTTTTAATAGTGATAAAGAGCTAAACATGGTATCAAATTTTCCGGAAAAATATGAGGAATATTCGGTCAAGAGCTTTTGCGGAGAAATTATTTTTCGTTCGGCCGTGACGAACGAAAACGTGCAAAAATGCGTGTTTTGCGTGATTTTTTATGAAATGCTTAAAATGGCCTGAAACGTATGCAAAAAAAATTTAAGACGATTTTGAGCAATTTAAAATTTTACGCGCGCATTGACGCGCGCGCCTACGCGTACGCGCATTTTTGCGCGCATTTATTGACCTCATATTGATCCGACGGATATTGATCTTAATCTTGATAAATATGAATGTAAAATTACTTTCCGTTATGAAGATATGATCATAAGTTGATTTTTACAAAATGGCGCCTGGATGACGTCACGATGACTTTGAGTCTTTGAAAAGTCACGCAGTTCTAAGTTAGACTAAGATCTATCATCAGTGAAAGATTCATAACAATGGCTTTATTGAGTCTTGAGATATCCTGCGAACAAATTCGAGGAAGAATAATAAATAAAAAAAAAAATAAATAAAAATCTTGACGAAATCAAAAGGTGATACGTTGACTTCGTTACGTATCACCTAATAATAAATAAATAAATAATAAAAATCTTGACGAAATCAAAAGGTGATACGTAGACTTCGTTACGTATCACCTAAAAATAAATCTGTACAAATAATCTATACACTGCACTAAATTTGATCGAAAGTGGACGTGCTTATTGAGGGAAAGGCTTAAAGTTCAATAGAAAAAAGGGCTATATAATTACCGTGTGCTGATTTTGGATGCGACCGGTATATAAAACTGCTTGCTGCCAGGCGGTTCCCCGGGCCTCTGATCGGCGATAGATAATGGTTTCTTCAGTAGGGGATGTCTTGTAAGACACCATTAGGTCACCTAATGCCAATCATGATAGATCACAAGAAAAAAAGTTAATTAGTTCGATGTTGTGTAAGCCGAATCCAACCATTAAATGGTAGACATAACAAAGTACACCAAGTCTGTAATCAGTTGCAATGTTAGCTCCAGCATATGAATTATTTCAATCTAAATATTTCTTGAAAATTTTGACCCATACAAAATACTTGTTGAATGATCTTTGTAGATGATAAGTGTTTTAGGCTAAAATGCGTCTTAAATTAAATAGATTTGTGTGCTCCTTTGCTAATATTTTCACGAACGACTGTAGCCTTGCCAGAGAGAAACACTTCACAAAATCATGTAAAAGATGTTTGTATACAATATAATGAAGTGACGGATGTGCAAACAGCTAACATCGCCGTATTTCAATATGTGAGGGGAGATAAAAATTATGAGCCCATGAAACTTACTTTGACCGCTGAGAACATAGTAGAAAGTCATAGAGCATCTTGCACTCATTTCCTGTATAAGCGGGCCCTGCAGCCTGGCATAGTCACTGGAATGCGACTGCGCTGTGTAGTCTACCACCATATAGTAACCAGACCCCGTTGTGTGGTCGTAGCTCGGGAGAGGAAGGCTTGGAGGGGGCGTGTTTGACCCACCCTGAAGTATCCATGGAAACAGACCGGCCTGGTCGTTCGTGTAACTGCACTGGTCTACTTCAAACGTGCAGGGTCCTGTGTTTTGATAACATTGACAAAGATACAAGTAGGTATTTTAATTTTTAGTAATACTAGTAGTTTATTTCCGTTATTAAAAACAAAGACCAGAAAATTGTTATTGTTATGACAGAGCTAGAAATTCAAATTTGAAAACAATTGAAAGTCGATATGAATCTAGTAATACATACATTAATATATGAACGCTATTAACATGAAATACAAATGTTTTGAAACAATCAAAATGAATGGGGAATAGGGGCAGCACCTTCTCTTTCCTTATACGCTGTTTATTTGCTCGTGGCATAAATGTGTCTTGCAAATATTATATAAAAAAGTTAATGTCTTTTTGAAAACTATTCTACACGTTTTATGTCCCTCCATTGGTAATATAAAATGATCCTTTTGAAATCATATCATTATTTGTGTTCCTTGGAATATTTATTGTGGAAAACTATTCTGAACGTGGTATGTTCCTCCATTGGTTATATAAAATGATCACTTCGAAATCATATCATTATTTGTGTTCCTTGGCATACTCAATTTCTTTAATTAAAAGTGTTCATTTGCTATGTTTTTTTATTTCAAATCTTAAGCACTAGTTCTATAAGAGTGTAAACATAATGATGGACATTGATTATTCTAGCATACCACAGTTTGCTTCATCCGAGTTGTCTTGGCAATCAGGAAACCAATCACAGACCAGGTTCCCAGGGACAGACTGAGCACCATCGCTACAGGTGAAGGGAGGCTCAGAGGTCCTACCGCTACACGCTCCATTAAACAGTATCAGATCATCTATGGCGATGTCACAAGAACCTTGGTCTGATAGGACGCCCTCTATGAGGATCTACAAAGAAATATACAACTTCCGTTTACCAATGTTCCTTTAAGGAGAATATTCTTATGATAATTATCATCTACTGCAAGGTCACAATAACCTTGGTTTCAATCCTGAACCATGATCTAAAGGAAATAGAGGAAGATGTTTCTAGTTTTGTCAGTTACAACATACAACCAAGAATGAATTAAAATCATATCACTCGGAACAGAACGAGCATCAGCGCTTCATTAATCCTCATTACCAGGTCTCTCGGGACGAACCTAAAGCCGTCGGTCCTCTCGCTGCTTACTAACAAACATTTATACTTCTTAACCACCACTACTACTACTAATTTCAAAGCAATATTGAGATTTTCTTGGCTTACCCTGTACTGAGTTGAAGTCTGGATGTCTAGTTCAGCATAGTTCCATTGGTCGGGCAGGGAGCCAGTGTAAGCCAGTAAGATTTCTGTTCTATCAGCAGTCTCCCATGCAACCTGTTAAAAAAGAATAGAATACGATCGCAAAGTTTTTCGAGAAATTAATTCAGGGCAATTTTGGTAGCCATGATCGTCATCCTTATCATACGTGCCGGCATTATGTCTTATAACATCACTACTCGACCATAACAGATTACCTATAGGCAATGTAATGCTATTGAAATGAAGTTGATATTTGGAATTATGCATTTGCTATTATGTTATAATATAAATAGAACAAGATTATTGTTGAAAATGGCCCTATGATACAAAGACATTATTGCGACATTTTTTTAAATCCCCTTCTCAAACATAGGGTAGACAAATCCATATGCCTAAATGTCTATATACATTCAAACTTATCATTTAAACTTGATCTCTCTTGTATCGTCTTTCACATTTCTTTCTAAGTTGTTGTATTTGTATTTTGTTTTTTTAATTTACAAACAAACTTACATTCATCGTGCCAAAGCTATTGCCACTAGCCACCATGTGATACCACATAGAGAAGCATGCAACACCATTGGACGAATCAATACTCGAAGACTCGAACCGCGCACGACTTCCCTGACCGCCACGAGCCGAATCGATGTACATGTACCAGCCAGAGGGCGTCCCGGTAGTGTGGTCAAAGGTCGGGCCTGTGTTGGCATTTCCCGTTGACCCGCTGTGACGTAACCAGTCGATTTCGTCGCCGGTTTGGACGTTGGACCAATCGCAGGTGTCGACCTCAAAATTGCAGGTTCCTATGCAAAAGTACATGGTAGCATGTTTAGATTGGATATGGTAGGGCCTACTTTATGTTTACAAATCTTCTTTAGGCCCTTTTAGACTCAGTAGATCCTGATCAATCTGTACAGGGTAATTATTGACAATCTACTTGAGAATTATGACTCACACATAACCATGCATTTTGCAACATGTAACATTTTCATCTGGTGGAAGAAAGGCATTACAACATTTTTTATGATATTCGGTAGTATCTGTATTGCAATAAAATGCTTTCCTGTTAATTGAGTGTAATGAAAAACCCTAAATTGTAATTACATGTACTTACATTTGGTTTAAAACATAATACAGGCTGAATGAAGATATATGCTTGTCCCCTCTCATTCAAACAAAGCATTCAATAATCATAAGGATATGTATCAGGCAATGAAGACATTATGCAGTCATTGATCAAACCTCGTTGTCCAGTGCATTGTCCATCGTTGACCATTACATCATCCAGTGCGATGTATTCATCAAGGAGAGCGGACTGGACATCAACAACATCAGTAATACTACTACTACTACTACTACTACTACTACTACTTTTTATACTACTACCACCGACACTACAACTAGCTACTTTAGTACAAATGTGATATTGGTCTAACCTGGTTGCCCAGTGCACTGTCCATCGTTGACCATTACATCGTCAAGTGCGATGTATTCATCAAGAAGGGCGGACTGGACATCAATCTTGAAGGTGAAGACGTTCTGGTAGGTCGAAGGTATCTCCAGGGATCCCTTCCTCCAGAATCCTGAGGTGGGGTCCTGATCAAGGAATAATTACGATTTTTTTTTTTACATTAGGCTTTCTGGGAGAAATTTAATTGTTTTAAAGAAATGTATTACATATAGATCGCGTGGTCGATATTTTAGTTGAAATCAATGAAAAAAAAAGATTTTCTCAGACTTTTGTTATAAGGATTTTTTCGGCTTGCACCCAGCAATTAAAGATTGTGTGCTTAATCTTGTAATTGAAAATAAGTAAGAATAAATCTTGGAACCAGCAGGATTTTGAACCTGCCATCTACTGCTTGTCGGGCAGCGACTCAATCGCTGGTCCATGGCACAGTAAAACAAAAGGTCACTACAACAATTGAAATTTCTCTCAGGAAGCTTAATATTAACAAATCGTATCACTTGTTTTTAATTACGAGATCGAGCATGTGATCTTCATCAGTCAACGATTTCTTTACAACGATTATAATTTAGATTTTGAGATTTGTTCTTCGTTCCTTCATGCTCATTACGATGTAAATTAAACTACTTCCTCTCTCTCTGAGCTCCAGGTATTGTTTGATTTCTAGGTATCCATCTGTTTTCAGTCAGCATCGTGTTAACACTTGATTACACCTTGCTGGAGAGCGACAAATGAAGGAACACACGAAACGAAACCAGATCAATGAAAATAATAACTTACGGTAAAACTCCGCATTGTCGAAGTGGGCAGGAGCTGCCCTGCACTGTCGTAATACAATGCCTGCACGGTGAAAATACCAAAAATATCTGTAAGTAGAAAGAAAGGAAACAGTCAACAATGATAATATTAATTGTTAACTTAATTGATCTTCATGTGAATACATGGGCATACTCTAGTTGACTTTAATGTTTTCTGCAATAACTGTTCGTGTCTTAATTGAGTTTTTAAAAGACTTAACACTTTTGATAAACATCAAAACTCAATACTTAGACCGTTTGGCTAGATAGTGCAAAAGCTCTTCAAGATGTTTATTTTTCAGTGATCCTCCAGACAGGTTTATACGATCCTCCAGAAAAAACATCACTATCTGAGACCTGTATGATGGGCCGTAAAACTACGTGACTAAAAGAGTGTCGGTTAGTTGAAAGGTACAAACAGTGGATACGTCTTACCACTCAATGAATACCAGAACTCGACACACCTATACCCACTCAACGGTTTAGGGTAAGGAGGTGAGAGAAGTCGACCATTATCTCCTACTTGAGGGCGCTGTCCGGTGTTGACTCGCATGTAGAATCCTGCATGGGTAAGGTTATGTGAGAATATCTTAGCAAGAACCTTTAACAGAGCGCAAGATCCAAAATACGGTTCTACTAGTGCTCGCACACTGATCTTGTGCTTTTAGTTGATTGAGTTTGCTATTATTTTGCCGTTGGTGTCAACAAAAATATTTTACGAAACGTGTGATCCAATTCAATAACAAACACACAATTTCATAATAAAAGGTTCAATGCTGGATTGGGAAAAAACAACAACATAATAACCTGATCATGAAATACAAATGTACTATCTTTGAGAGTTTTGACCATAGGATAAGAAAGGAAGAGTAACGATATCAATGAATTACTTGAAAGCATATATTTGCTTTCTTAGCAGTCAGGTAAACATAAACCATCCATTCAATCAACAACGGTGACCTTAAGAACGTACCATCGTTAGTTCCAAGTGAATGGTCTATAGGTGGCCCAAACGCAATGGACGCTCTTCCATTCTCTCTAGTCCAGTCCACAGAATCCGTGTTGTCGTTGATGTAGTTGCAAATGTCGAGATCCTCAAAATCACAAAACACTGAAGGGAAAACCAAAAAGGGTAACATTAATAATAATAATAATAATAATAATAATGGGTTCTTGTATAGCGCTCATGTCAGTCAGATTTGACCCCCCTGGCGTTCCCGATTACTACCCTGGCTTTAGCGCATCAATTTTTAAAAAAAAAATATTCAGTTATAACATTAAGATATAATGTGCTTTCAATTTAAATTAAAATAACTTCAAGAAGCTTCCTCTCTTTGAAACAAAAATAAACTTTTCAAAGTGGATCACTACAAGAACGTACGCTTCTTATACTCTAATAACGCAATAGCCACTAGACCAACATCTAATGCGACTAACCATCCACGATACCTAGACCGCATGAGACCCATATAGTTTAAACGACCGATAAATGGCATTTCTATGGGTTCACGAGATTGGTGTCGTCGGCGTCTTGGACTCTCGTACTCATGGGTTGTCTGTCCACTAGGTCGCCCCCGTGTGTAAAAGGGAAGGTAAGCAGCTGCCAAGAGATCTAAAGACATCCATGCTCATGACATCTTATCCCTCAGGTACAAGTTTAGAAGTACTAAACCAGCTTTATGTGACATAAGGTTAAATATATTATGATAACCAATAGTATTTCATTGTAATACAGATACTACGATCTCATTTCTTCATATCATACTTTCTTTCTGCAATGGTTTACTTACACAGCTCAGGGCAAGGCCCATCTGATATTATGACGTCATCAATGGCTATGTCGCCTTGGTAACCGTCTCCGGCCACACCCTCAATATAGACCCTCTGATAGATGGCGTTGGTAGCGAAGGGGACCTGGCCATGCACCCATTGGTAGCCTTGCTCCCCTGAACGGGTCCATAAGATTCCACCATCTACGAAAAGATTATGAAGTAGCCAATGGGAACATGTTAATATGCTATTGTGAAATACTTTGTACGTAACCTTACTCAATTTCATTTCCCCTAATCTCTTGGTCTCTTTGATATACTGTGATTTATGAGTTACCCCCTATTTTTCATAATCTCAACATTAGATTAATTAAGACACAGTTTAGAGTGAAGTAATATTTCATATCTTTTTCATCTTGAAACCCTGTGGTTTATTGCTGAAAAAGACATTAGATTGAATGTCAACAAAATTACTTCCTACTGCATACGGGTGATGAAATATTTAATTATAAACAACTGCAATTTGTTAACACTAGGTTTTGATTTCTTTTTGAGTTGCTTTTAGGATTATGTTCATTGTAAATGATACCTGTAATATGTATACAAAAAGTCGAGTATCTCCTTAAACCTGTATAGTTAATTATCAATCAACATTTAGAGAGTCACTAGATTTTCGAACTACATTTTAACCCAGTGGTTTTCGTTCCATAACAGTTTTACAAGTTTGTTCTACACACATACAACACTATTAATACGAAAACTATTAAAGTCGCTTGGATAATAACACAAAAGACATCAACCGAAACAAAGGAGAAAATTACCTGTTACACCGTCATCAATGCCAGTACCAATGTTGAGTGTGTCGACATGGAATCCGTACATGAAATACCAAAACTCTATACAAGATGAGACGGCAGGTGGCGGTATAAGATCACTGTATACCCGAGCCTTTTGGTCCCCGGCCTGGCTGCTAGAGTCAATCATAGCATAATAACCTGTACAATTGAATAGAAATGGAAGGGAAAATTTTACTGATAGAATTAATCAATGATTAACTCGTTTTGAAGAAAAAAAATCATGATGCTTCAATGTATACTATGCAAATGAAACGCAAAAAAACTTAGAAGAGCGGAGATGTGGTTGGGTGGTACACCATATAAATATTTTACTATGATTATAAAAACAACGATATAGTTTTCAAAATGTGTGAAATTTAGCCAATACGAGCGTACCAATTCATTTCCACTTTAAAAAAAAACACGGTGACCGTTAAATCATTATTTAATTAAAAATAACAATACATGGGCCGGCTGGTTGTGCATAATAAAGCAACAAGAAAATGCCAACAAAAAAGGCAACATCAGCATTGGCTGAAAAAAGACGTAAAAGGCGTTATTTCGTTTTTTCAACGGTTTTGTTCAAATTTTTCAAAATATCTAATATTTGTGGTGGAACACAACTATTAGAAATCGTTAAATTTCAGCCGTCTCTGAACCGATTTTGATCAAACAAAGATATATCTGTCATTTAAATATTATATTCTTTCAAATTTGACACTCAGTTTTTCATTATCTCACAAAAAAATATTTTGTGTAGCGCCCTCTGCCACAGAATTCAACTATCCATGAAAGGTCCACAGACGTTAATAAAAGTATCTGATTAAACCAACAAATATCTAAACACCCGGTTAGCAAACACGCAAACAAACGTCCATACACGCACACGAATGCTACCTACCGTTCTTGTTTTGCAAGGTGTGATCAGCGGATGGTCCGGTCCCGTCATTGGTTGTGCTACCCTGCTGCAACGACCAATCAAAATCGTCGTTAGTAGCCTGCACCCAGCTGCACAGGGAACCCCCTTCAAAGCTGCAATCCCATTGGCTAGGTTGTCTTGTTACCGGCGTTACCGATGTGGTGGTTGGGGCTGAGGAATAAACAGCAACGTGAAAGAGGTCATAGTAAATGTATTTTTTCTTCTTAATAATTCCGTTCAAAAAAAGAATATCAATAATACCTATTCCGTCACACTCTAATGCTTTAATCCCTTGAGATTTGAACTTTCGGTGAACGTCTCTTTCTTTATACTTTCCAAATTGTATTCCCCCCCCCCCAACATTGTCATGTAGAAGAATGTAGTAAGTTGTTGAGTGTCGTATGTTTCCGTGACCTTTGCTTTCCTATCGCAACCTGTATCACTGGCGTGGCAAATCGTTTATTGTTTAAAACTAACGGTTTTATTATATAGTTAAAAAAGAAGAACTTTAAAACAACAAAATCATAATGACCTTTACCTTTATAATTTGACGTTCTCGGCACTGTCTTATAAACACTTGAGATTAATTCTTAACTTATTTGCGATTGATAATAATCACAAATATGTTCATAAGAAACAGGGAACTGCACGTTTGCGATTAGTTCTAATCAATCGCAATTTGTTATATAAAGTTTACGATGGAACAACGTAACAACCTTCTTTGAAAATTGACATGAATGAGAAAAACTATTGAAGAAATAAGCTCGTGTATGCTAACCGTGAAACGATCGGAGGACAATCAATAATTTGATACAATATTCAAGTTATAAATAATTTAGGTTGACGACTTTTAATTAGCTTGATAGAATTACTCACGGCTACTACTGCACGACCGCGGCAGGTAGTTGATGTCATCCAGAGATATATCCCCGGTGAAACTGGACGAATCAATGGCTTCAAAAGTGATGATATGTTCGTAGCCCGTTGTTACGTCGACTTGCCCGAGAAGCCACTGATCGCCCTGGTCACCGCTCAGAGTCCAGATCAGAGACTCGGGGCCACTGGGCAACTCTTGCAGGAATATATTCAAGGTGCCCATATCTTAAAGTAAAAAAGCAATGGAGTAGTTATAAACCATGCGTATGCGTATGTAGAGTAAAATGCGTGTATAGAGTATGTAAATGAAGAAATGTAGTACATCAAATAAGGATGTAATTATTGAAAGTGCTTGGTAATATAGGAACAATGACATGCACAATGACATGTGGAATTAAGCATACCAAAAACGCAAATAACAAACAATGAACCAAAAAAAGGGCGATCGGCAAAAATACAATGCTCCTTTTCTTCTTCTTAACACAGTAACGCCCGTACGATGATATAGAGCCTGTGTGATTATGTCAACATATTTAGCGATAATCTTCTTCTTCTTCTAATTAAGTTTGCCTCCTTCATTTGACTGAAGATTCTTTCAAACTATGTGTGTGTATGTGTGTGTCTTGACCACAATTTACGTCCATTCGAGTGCTATTCACATTATAATACGGTTATAATAAAATTGTAGTAATAATACAGTTATAATACAGATACAATACAGTTAGAATAATACAGATGATTGTTGGTATTTATATTATAAAACAGTTTATGTAAAAGTGATGTAATATTTTTTTCTTCATTGAAGACATTCTTCTTTTATTCATCTTAGACAAATGTGGGGACAAGGACAACAAAAACAACAATATAAACAAACACACCTGCACCAAACATGTGATACCAAAACGTGAAACATCCTGTGGGCGTGGCCGAAAATACTTCAGAAACCAGTCTCGCCGTCTCATTGGTTGCTGTGTTTGAGGTCTCGATATAAATATAGTGACCTGTCAATCAAAAAGAAAATATGTCTTCCATTTAACTCCTACGTATTTACATAAGATTACACAATGGCATAACGATACACTTCTTTTTTTCTTTTACAATGTGACTTGGACCAGGGTACAAATCTTTACTTTTTGTTGACGTTGTTACGATTACTATTTTGACGAAAGACTCGACATATAAAGTGTCTTAATGTTTGATGAAATATCATATTCACGCTATCTTTACACTTACAGAAGAATACATAACACGGTTCAACGTTTCCTGTGTTAGTGTTTAAAAATACTTGCTCCCTAGGAGTGCGCACTGATAAGGGGCTTCAATGAAGATAGCTAAGTCAAGACAATGGCTCAAAACATCGTGAGTTTGTCTTTTTGTGAAATATTGGCCCACGTTGCTAAATCTTTATATTAATGTTCTACAAAGCTTATATTCTACTTTAATATGTGGTATACCATGTCTTTTTTATTGACACACTCCATTTTGAGGCAAACATATATTAAATTATAACTATTACAAAACAATTTTTCTTTTGCATGTGTCATATTTTTAGTATTTGTGATTGCACGATTTTACCTTGGATTGTTCCGAGAGTGTGGTCAAATGGAGGTCCGGTGCTATCACTGGGCGTGGCTCCAGAGTGAAGCAGCCAATCAAAATCATCGTTGACAGCGTTGGTCCACCCACAATGCAGACTCTCAAATGTACAGTATCCTAAAAATACAGTATGCAATCAAATTTAAGTCGCTAAGAAACTTTCAATATTCTCAGGGCTACCTCCTCCATTTGGTTGAATGATGTTCTGTTTTCCTAACTACATTGATATGAAATGATGTGAATTCATGTGATGACGTTAAAATAAGTTATCTCCGGAATATTAGTCATGGGATAAAAATAATCGTATTTTAATGATGTATAAATATAAAGTTATGTTATTTTTTCTCTTACATTTGATTCTACAAATCAGGGCCTTATTTCATAAAATATCTAACAATAACAGCTGCCACGAATCTATAACGCATTTGTTCCATCTCAAAAATCAACGGATTCAGGAAATTACGGTGGTAGGTATATACAATATATGTCTTTATTGTTCAGTAAACATGAAATATAATAATGAAATACTGTCCACGAAACGAGTTCATGGAGAATATAATCTGGAGACTTGGTACTTTTTCATGCGGCTGAAACACAGTTTATCCCTTCCACTGCTTTATAAAAAGAAGCGAACAGAGGTGCTAGAAAATAATTGATTAACAAGGGCGAAGTGAAATGTATGAAGGACATTTTTAGTCTATGAATGGGGGGGGGGGGGTGTTTCACAAAGATCCTAAGTTGAACTTATCTCTATTAAAATTGGACTTAAAATTCATGGAGAGCCATTTTTGGCCTTATAATCAAATATATTCAAGAGCAAGACTTCAAATATTTTAGACTTTTCATGAATTCCACATCAAGAACATGAAATCTCCCATGATAATAGAAAATACGAATGATTTGAAACAACAGTAATGTAATAAATATTTCAAAGATGCTAACGGCTTTCCATAATTGTTAAGTCCAACTTAGAGATAAGTTCAATTAAGGATCTTCGTGAAATACCCCCTGGTATATTTTTCGTGTACCTGGCGGTGGGCATGTTCCATACTCAATGTTGATCTCATCTAGAGCCATAGCTGAACCGTAAACAGAGCTTACAGAACCTGTGAATACAACCTGAAACAGAACATACACGAATACTAAATTTACTACCTAACAAAGATTGCATGACATTCTAGATACTGTAAATACTAGATATATACACATATCCATTTACCGATTCAATTATATAGACAGGGATAGCACACGAAAAGACAATGAATGTGATATTGTAAAACCAGTCGTATTTAGACTATTCAATAAGTTAAATCTAAAGATGCAAGTCGCAGAACCAAAACAAAAGTAACGGAATATTTATCCTGATGGAAGCAAAATAAATAGAATGGACATTGGTCCAAGGGAAAAAAGTCCATAACAATTGACCATTTATTTTTGTAACTAACATGAACTTTAAAAGAATCTTGGACAAGATATACATTGCATTAAAAATAAAGATATTGGGATGATAAAACTTATCACACGTCATATTTGATGCTTTCATCTTGTCGTTTAAATTTTGATATCTAACAAAACATTAAGTTACCTTGATATTCATCCATACTTCTTTTGTCACTGTAAGCAGTCCAATGGATATGCATCTATCAAACAGACCTGTGTGTAGATCATCAGCTGTGTATGCAGGCACACTTAACACCTACTTAACACCTTACTCTTTGCGAGAAGGGTGTGACTTTTCTACATAGGACCTCCAGTTAGCGGTCTAGTTTGAGTAAAATATTTTGTCTAAACCCTGAAAACGAACCTGCATCGAAAACAGAGGGGAGCTTTGCGCATACGCACATTGTGGCGACATTAATTTTTTGCATTTTCATCTGCTTATCGCAGGACTCGAACCCGCACTGCATCCATACAAAAAAGCGCTGCTGTAAATCACTTTACCCCCTTACCTCTACATCGTTGCCAGACACGGTACCGCTACCGTATCCCCATCCTCGGTTGGTATTAACGGGCGAGGTCCAGAGGGGTGCAGAAAAGACCCCATTCTCCCTGGAGCGGAGTTGGATGTAGCCAAAGCCGTCGTGATAATACCAGAACTGCACGCAGTAGTCGGAGGAGGAAAGGTCGTAGACCGGGCTGATAATTCGAGCCACGTCACCATCACTGTGTGGTACTGTGGTATCCACATAGATGAAATTACCTGTATCATTCGAAAATGAAGAAGAATAAATTAGTAGTAGTAGTAGTTAGACATCTTTCTTACATAGCGCTTTTTCATTAGCCAACCAAAGTTCTTACAGTATCATTATAACCTGTGTCACGGGATTCAGCACATTTCTGTAATCATTCTCCACTCGCTGGGGAGCATTCCATATAATCGTCATTTTACAGAAGCGCACAAGCTAATCCAACCACAGTGACGTTCGCATCCGAAATTGGAACAAGTACAAGTTCCAGACATAGAAATTGAAATTGAAATTGAAATGGGTACCCGGTAGAATGCGACCGCCATTGTTGGTCAAACAGTTTTTGAGCGTCAAGTAACGCCTGGCTGGAATGCTCCCAAGGGAGCGGAGATTGTGCACACAGTGTGTGCGGACAAGCACTGAATTCAATGACCGGGGTAATAGTATATTTGTAAAGCGCTTAGAGACATTGTATCAAGCGCTATATACAAACGAAATATTATTATCATTATTAGACACTAGTTTTAATTAAAAAAACGGGAGTCATCAAATTTGTATATATGACACAATGCATGCCCTGGGTTTCCAAAGGACACTATGTAGAGAGTAAGGAAGCGTAGTCTCGATCTTACCGTTCGTAGTGCTAGTACTCTTATCCACCGGAACGGTCGGGTAGGATGCCCCCGTGCCTCTGGTCCAGTCGAGACCATCATCGGTGGTATCCTGCTGCCAGCCACATGTATCCTGCTCGAAGGTACACTGTTCTGTATAGGTGGGAACATGCATATTATAATGATTAATCATATAATTCTTGTGTGAGTAGGCTAGCGCGTGTAAATGTTTTATCATGCAAACCATAGGCTACTCATGAAGAAATGACACATCTATAACCAAACATAAGGTTGCGAACATTTTAAGATTCATAACTGCAAGTAATTTCGAAAACTTCTTTCTTTAGTCATAAAGTTAGAGAGAAATATATTCTTCTCATATCACGTTCAGTATATACGATATTATGCGTTACAAACCGTTCATTAACATTTGAAATTCTTATATTAATATCATTTGGACCAAAAGGAATAGGAATATTGAATTAGGACAAATATGTAATCATCATATAGCAAGTAAAAGCATCACTGTTTGGGTTTCTTTAAGAAATATCTGACGTGCAAACTTGGCCTAATATCATGAATATCATGACTTATGTAGTTTTGCTACCAATAAAAGAAAACATTCTTCATTGAGTTAAAGGGTTTGTGTTTCTTTAGAATCAAACTGATGTAGTAATAATATTTAAAATAACTTACTTTGTTGCGGGCATGATGCAGACGAATCAAATAGGATATCGTCCAGTGCTATGTCACTCAGGAAATCCGACCCTCGAACAGACTCAAAGATTAGCTTCGAACAAAGAGGGAATAAAACAAATATCGAAACTTGTTATGATATTTGTTTTATCCCATGTAAAAAAAAACACTTGACAAAATATCATGTTGAAATAAATTAATTTTAACCTGATTTACATTAATGATATGGTCGAGTAATATCATTGAATTGTATGAGTTACTTTATGTAATTGTTATTATTTCTGTTCATGTCTGTAATCTAATGCCATGAGTCTAAACAACTCTCCTTTTCATGGGGTATTGCTGTCAGTCAAAGTAAATACTACTATTACTACTAATAAAAATAATATTTGTTTGCGTGTAGACATCTCACTAATAATGTTAAAGGGATTATAGCATGACGAGACAACGTATCTTTCCCGTGGTCTGACTCGGGGCCAATCGGGTATAATACGACTGCGGACAAGACGCGACCACAGTACTCATATGCGTGCAACATACGCGAAACCGAATCGTGAGGCGAACTTCAGTCTGTTTCGAATCCATTCGTTTACGTGCATTCGTCCATACGAAGTTGTAGATGGCGTTAACCAGTATTTGCTATGGTACACCCCTTTAAATCTTTACCATAACTCTTCCTTTTGTTTACATAAAATAAAAATAGAACATAACTCGAAAACAACTCACCTCGTAGTTTTGGCTTGATACCAAATCCACCTGTTGGTAAATCCATGCATTTCTGAGTGTCCCGGACTGGCTCCAGACCAAAGTAGTCGTCCCGTCAAAGGTATTGTAAAGATAGAGGTTTAGCGCCCCCATCGTCGTACCGTACATATGGATCCAAAATTGGAGACAGGCCCCGGCTGGAGTGGCGGGAATCTCCAGGGATTTCACCCGGGCGGTGCTGCCGAGAGCACCGCTCGATGCCTCGAAGTATATGTAATACCCTGGATGATGGAAATGAGTGAGAAACTATTACTATGCTATAAAACGTAAATAGACTATTACTGTAATTTTCATTATAATGCAAGCGTATATGTAGGGAACAGACGAATAGCTAACCATACCGCAGGGTTTTCCGCAAGACAAACTCACGGCTCCCTGAAAGCCTAGTGCTGTGGCTGGGATTCAAAACCCGAATCGTGTAATTCACAGTCTGGGAACTTATCCACCGTATCACAACACATACAAACTATACTTTTTTTTTTTTACTGCTTTTCATTTCATTCTTGATAAAGTGTAGGCCTACAATGTATATTCTCGCAAAACTTTATTGATTAAGCTAAATATTCATAGAGATTGATTGAACAAAATACTGAGAAGATAACAAACTGTGCCGGGCGTATGGTACTGGAGACAGAGAGAGAAATTGAGATGGAGAGGGGGGGGGGGGGGGTGCAATGTGTGTGCAAAACAAAAGACGTAAATGTATTTACAGCGCCGGTAACATGGTGAAAGAGAGACGGAAAGAGGTGGGGGTGCGGAGGGAGGTATTGGTGCGTGCAAAAGCAAGATACAGGAGAACTGTTACCTGTGCCAGTCGTATGGTCACTCGTCGGGCCCGTCGACGCTGATGATGTTGTGCCTGCGTATCTCGTCCAGTCGTAGTCGTCATCCGTCATCTGTTTCCATCCGCACAATGACATCTCAAAGTCACAGCTTACCGTCTCATAGATAGAAGGGTCGGCTGTGCTGGGGAAAACTGGACAAATATTGGGGGGAAAAGCATTTTACTTCCATCCATGATGTCTTGAAAGTAATCACAATACGTACTGAATGAATATATGTTATAATAATATGCAATCCTGTCGTAAAGAAGAAAAATAAGAACAGAAAGAGGGAGAACAACAGATAGTAGAAGAAGAAAACGAAGAAGAAGTAGAAGAAGAAAAAGAACTAAAATAAGTAGATGAAGATAACAAAAAAGAAGAAAAACAGAAGGGAAGAAAAAGAAAAAGAGGATGAAGAAGAAATGAATAAAGAAAACACTTGACGCAAGGTATCTCGTCAAATTAGTACATCAAACTTGATTAGATTAAAACAAATACGCTTAAATATGGAACAAGTTATTTATATATCCAAGTATCGGTTTCAACATGAAAATTACTCTCTTCTTACCCGGGCAAATTTGGTCCAAAACTGTGATGTCGTCGATGGCTATGTCGCCATAGTAACTGATGCCGGTTGATGCCTCGATCATGATCTGAAAATTATGAAATTGGTGACATAATTACGACAAAACAAGCCACAGTTCTTCTCTTGGGAAACAGAATGGTGTTATAGTTAACTGATTTGATACATAGGAACCAAACCGGACAATTAACGAATTAAACAGGACAATTAAGGTCCTTCTTGGTCGAAGCAGAAGAAACAAAATATCCTTATAGATTCACAAAAAATTCTTAATAGTTTTATACCTTCTCCATTTCATCCAGATCTTTGATTCATTTGATAACAAATACTGTTCAGAATAGAATGCCGGTCACCTTCGAACATATAATTTAGAAACAGTATATTATAAACCAAGTTGGAGTGTCCTTGGATTTTCTCTCCTGTAAGAGGTTTAAAAAAAAAATCTTGGCCAAGTAATGTAAATTTACATCCAAATGTAGAAACATATTCATATTTTTTTTCTGTCATTATGGATGAGTAACGGTTCACAAGGGTGGATATAACATGGAACATTTTCGTAATGAAACAAACTTTAATATAAAAATATGTTTGTAGTGCCTCAATAATGAATAAGAAATATTTCATTCACATCTAATAAGTAATTATATTCTAATAGTCAGAATGCAATAGTCACAATAAAAATGGCATACATTACATGATGTTAGGTATGGCAAGTCAATATGTTTGTCCTACCTAACATTTGTAACAGATGAATGAAATAATTCGTATCAAGGAACTTAAAACAAATTTGTGAATTAGGTTTGGTAACGTTACGAGAATAGTATTATGAAGTAATGATGACACCGCATCAAATGTATGTATGCATACATTGTTGGATAGACTTCGACCTAACTACAAATGGATGTAGATGCTGATGTTTTGTGAGGTACATATTCAGAAATATGGATTTTTGTAACAAATTTTATGACGCTATATTATAGGAGATTAAATATTACATCGAATGATATTTTGTCAAGTCCATTCACTTTGAAAAAAAAGTTATGAGAAGTAGTTGCGTGATTTGAGCTATCGCCAAGGACAGCTACTTAAAGGGGACGTAGCATGACGAGAATACGTGTCTTTCCCGTGGCCTGACTCTGGGCAAACCGGGTATAATACGACTACAGACTACGTGCGTTCAGCATACGCGAACCCGAAGCGTGAGGAGAACTTCGGTTTATTTCGCGAACGATAGCGCGCGCTGACCGTTAATCAAGTCTAGGGCCATCTATACACATATGTGTATGTATGCGTATACATGGCTCTAATCATGTCCCTTCGTTAAAGTGCAGTGTCCAAAAGAAGTCGTAGATGGCATTAACCAGTATGTGCCATGATACACCCCCTTTAATTGTTTATGGTATGATTTGATATAAATGTTATCATAAAAATATTTGTCTCGAAGGAAGGTCTATGCATTCGATTCGTCAAACATGTGCCTTGTATACATTTTAATTGCTTCTAGTAGCCCTACTGAACTTTCTATATATTCCATCTCCAAATTATAATAATTAATAATAATTACAGTGCTTATATAGCGCCTAACACTTACTTTGTCAGAAGTCTCTAAGCGCTCTACAATAATGCAGCATAATTACCCTGGCTTTAGCAGTGCAGCTGTTACGTATTATATTATTGTTATTTTTGCACATTTCTATCGGTGACGCACACGGCTTCTAAAATAACCTTTGCCATTTTCGTAATATGATCAAATTAAATGCACAAATCTTTGTTGAGTGCATCGTTACAAATTATTTCACTCACCTGTTATGAATAATTGTATTACAATTGTCAGAATAAAAATTACATACATTACGTGATGCTAGGATAGGGCAAGCCAAAATGTTTGTCCTACCTAGCAACAACTTACGTATACAATTTTATTTCTGACTATTGATATACATTAATTCGTGGGTGAATAAAATAAGTCGTATCGAGGCGCTTCACAAAGGCATATGCGCAAACTATGAAAAAGGCATGTTGGTTAGTATAAGCAAGTCTTTTGCATGGAATAGTAAAATCTAAATATTTTTGTATGAAAATGTGTAATATCCCATATGAATGACACCCTTACCACCACCAATGGATCATAAGAAGTAGGAGTTGGCTGTCAAAATAAGAACGATGACAATATGAAACAAACATCAAAATAAACGGTATGAACAATTTCAAAAGGAAATCAAAATATTTTGGGTTATAAACTTGCAGTAAAAATAGACAACACAGTATTTGTGTTATCATGCATGATGCAAAATGCACACGAAACAATACACATTACCAAATTTCAATATTTCATATGGTACACGCTCGAAAGTAGGCAAGCAAACAATTTCATAATTCCCAATAATATTGAAATTATAAAACGTTTCATGTTACAAGTCACAAACAAAATATACGTACTCTATAGGCTTATCATTTATTAAATCCATTTAGCGTCTCGCTAACCAGACTTCATTTAGATGGCGTTATCATCTCGAATCTCTGAAGGTTAGGTCAATTAATACCTATCTTATGAACGCAATGTTTACAGTGCTCACCTGTAAGCATCGCACATCAAAGACAATGTCAGTAGCTGACGCATTCATCCGTCAATAAATGACGCATCATATACAACGGGTGTAATCAAATACAGCCCAACCTGCTTTAGTGACCACCTGTCTACAAAGGCCATCTGTCTGCAACAAGCACATGTTTTGTTTCCCTTGAAAATGGTTTCTTATTGAAACATGTAAAATGAACCTGTCTATAACGACCACCTGTCAACAAAGACCACTTTTTGTGTTTCCCTTGGGCGGTCGCTGTAGACAGGTTTGACTGTAGTAGGCATATAACAACAATAATGAAGTTAAAGGTATTAAAACTCACTGTCATGCCGTCTCCGTTCATGACTGAAAATCTCCCTTCCAGCCAGGCATTCGGGTCCGCCGTCTGCTGACCTGACAGCCGCCATTTGTAATCCTCGGACCCTGAGAGCGCGTCGATGACGCGGACGTTGAGCTCGCCCACGGTGGAGCCATACATATGATACCAAAATGAAACGCAGGAGCCCGTGGCGGAGGGGAAGATGGAGCTGAGGAGACGGGCGTTGGCCCCGACCCCCACCGAGCTAGCTTCGATGTACATGTAGAAACCTGGGGGCGTTTTCACAAAGCATTTTTTTCAATGTTAAATAACACAAAATCAGTTACAAATCTGCTGATAACCAATCAGAATGAAGGATTTCAGTAGCTTATAACAAAAACTCTCATTTGTCAATGATGACAATTTTTGTGAAACGCCTCCATGGGGATGAGGTTAAATTAGAGCATATCCTTTGAATCCCTGCATGGGCCAATCCTTTTGTTCTTTTGTGCTAGTATTCACCTACAACGTAACAGCAAAGAGCTCCAACCAACAATCAACTCAAGAACACATTCAATACGCTGTTGTGTGTCACACATAAATAATGTTCGCATTACGTCATGTCGCACATTTCAATAGGTGACGTACAAGGCCATTGCAATCGACTGAGGCTTGTTTTTTGAAATAGTTGCAATTGTTTTGTACCCCGAATTTGTTGAAGGATTGCCCTTGTGCTATTCATTCTGAATGTTATCCAATGTATGATCTTCTAGTAGACCAGTGCTCGTGATAGGAGAAGACCCACACCAATCTCTCTTTTTCTCTATTTCTTTGTCTCTGTCTCTGACTCTATCTTTGTGTTACTCTCGGTTTCTGACTCTCTCTCTCTCTCTACACATCAATTGAATGGCTACTCACCATTATTTTATGTATTACCCAATGTGTGGTGTGGTAGTGGTCAATTTACAGTGGTGAGAATGCCCTCGCCCCTTCACCTCCCGCCCCCTCTTTCTCTCTTTCTCTTAAAAGCAATAGCGATATCACTCACCTTGTGCATTACCCAATGTATGACCCGCTAGAGGACCAGTGCCCGTAGTAGGGGAAGCCCCACCCTTTACTTCCCATCCTCTCTCTCTCTCTCTCTCTGTCTATCTCTCTCTCTCTCTCTTCAAACTAAAAGCGATTGTACTCACCTCGTGTATCACCCAATGTATGATCCGCTAGAGGACCAGTGCCTGTAGTAGGGGAAGCCCCACCCTTTACTTCCCATCCTCTCTCTCTCTCTCTCTGTGTCTATCACTCTCTCTCTCTCTCTCTCTCTCTTAAAACCAATAGCGATACCACTCACCTTGTGTATTGCCCAATGTATGATCCGCTAGAGGACCAGTGCCTGTAGTAGGGGAAGCCCCACTCTGTCTGATCCAATCAAAATCGTCTCCATCCTGTGTATTACCCCATAGACACAGATCAGTCTCAAAATCACACGAAACTGAAAGGATATCAAGAAACGAAAAGGTATATTTTTTGATAAAGCAGAAGTAACAGATATATGGGGAGAAAGTTCATCTTCATCTTGTGGATTATCTTATAGACACAGGTCAGTCTCAAAATCACACGAAACTGAAAAGATATGAACGAATGAAATAGTCAATTTTTGTTTAATGAAGCAGAAATAAAAACTGTATGATGTGAAGGTTTGTGAGGCAAAATAAATCAACGCATGGAGACTCCTACTCACGTGACATTTCACCAAACTCAATTTTGGCTAAACGTTGTTTATTCATGTTCAAAAGTGTCTGGGTATATACTGGTTATTTTGTTTAACACAATGAGTTCTGAATTTTCCCCTGCATCTAGCTTTAATAAAGGAACCCCCTTCCAGTACGCACTGCGGGATTAAAATGACGATGACAATGATGAGCACTTTACAATATTCATGTACAACACAACTGCTTGAAAAGCTGGGTTTTGCGGCCTGACCGAGAGCTTTCTAGCTTGTAGGTGTCACAAAGAATAGGAGGGAGTTTTAGAGGCGTGAAGCAACTGAAGAGAAGGCACGATCACCATATACCCAGAGTCGTGTAAGTGGAACTTAAAAAAGAAGATAATGGCATTTGCATGCAATTATACCACACTTTCGACCAACATAATATAACAAACATTGATTCAACAGAAAGTAAAAGTTGTGCATACAATTTCTGTATGCAACGGTGAAAGTGCCTGTTTCCACAATTAATTATTATGTTCCTTCACACAAGGTTTGTAACAGGCATTCGGTTTTAACTCGTTGACTACTGAATTATCGAATTCATTCCCATAGAATTGACACAGAGACCACCAGGTTCCAGTGAGTAATGTATTAAGAGTTTACAGCAAATGGAGAAGTCACAACATAAAACTGACATTATGAGTAGCATTCTCACATTGTAATCATGATAAAGCTTACAAAAGAAAGAGGTCCCACCGAGACTTGAACTCGGATCGCTGGATTCAAAGTCCAGAGTGCTAACCATTACACCATGGCACCTTGTCTGATAGTACAAGCGTCCATAGTTTAAAGAAACACAACGTTCATAATACACTTGTCCGTACATTACTGTTTAGTAATTTTATGCATACTTCTTGAACAAAAGTTTCTCTTCACAACTAAAAGCTCTTGCGAGAGGATTACCCAACATAGTAATAGATTAAGTATGCAGAGTGAATTCCATACATAAAGATGTCATTATTCGTTGCAAGTGAATTAAATTACTGGTAAAAAGGGATAAATGAGAAATACAGAAATTAGAATACATTAAGAGATAGGATTATCACGTTCAACAAAAATAAGAAAACAAAATCTCAGACTGACTCCGTTCAAACAACCACGATTTTTAGCAAACGCCCAAACCAAGCTTGAGCTTTAAACAAGTTGAATACGAGTGATTTCATTTGGATGTTTATTGATTGCTAAATCTACATGAGTGAAAACCACTCTCTAATGAATCTTCATGAGAATCATGTTGTTTTCAAGTGGAATTCATGCTTTAAAGGTAAACTATTGGAAACGCCCCAATTTCAAAAAAATGAAATGGAAGCTCTTATCTGTCCGCCACGAACTGATGGCTCACAACCCTTTCCAGCTCCATAATAAATTGGGAGATTCAAGGCTTCAAATGGCTTACAAAATAAAGAGGTCCCACCGAGACTTGAACTCGGATCGCTGGATTCAAAGTCCAGAGTGCTAACCATTACACCATGGCACCTTGCCTGCTGGTGCAACCATCTATAGCTTTGAGAGACATCACGTTCGAAATACACTTGAATAGTGTTTTCCTACCATTAACTCTAAAAACAGGTTAATCAAGTGACCAGGGGAGTGTTTCGCAAAGACTAGGGTATACTTTGAGTAGGAATTAACTATGGCAGGTCGTTCATGCCACTGTTTGCTCTCATCATTTACTGGCATTGATCGCTTAAGGGACGTACAAATCATGGTCACAACATTTACAGAAATTACGTCTTTTTATAATTTATTATTGAAGGAAAAAATATTATCTAATGATCATAATGGTAAAACCAACTAGTAGCATAAACTGCCTGCCATAGTTAAGTTAACTTAAAGTCGACCTTAGTCTTTGTGAAACACTCCCAAAAGGCTGTAAAGATATTCATCAAAAAAGAAAATCACCAAATCATAATAAAAAAGGAAGCAATCAATTAAAAGTAAGACAAAGCAAATTCTAACAGAACAATCATAAGTAATCATAATTAAAAACAGAAATGAAATGGAAGACAAATTGAACGAACCATCACCATGCAGAAGCTTTCACAAGGTCCCCCTGCCTGCGTGGACGGCATAAGTCAAGCACTGAAGCCAATCATGATAAAGCTTTCAAAAAGAATGAGGTCCCACCGAGACTTGAACTCGGATCGCTGGATTCAAAGTCCAGAGTGCTAACCATTACACCATGGCACCTTGCCTGCTATTTCAACCGTCCATAGTTAACAGAAACGTCATGTTCAACATACACTTCTCTAGATATTACTGTTTAGTAATTGTATGCATACTTTTTGAACAAAAGTTTCTTGGCAACTAAAAGCACTTGCGAGAGGCTTGCCCGACATAGTAACATCTTAGGTATGTAGAGTGAATTCCATCCATAAATATTCCATTATTCATCACAAGTGAATTACATGACTTGTCACGAGGAGTAAGTAAGAAAGACAGATTTTTGAAAACAAAATGATCCCAATTGAAGTTGAAATACATAAATAGAAACAAATTGTATATCTCAGACTGACTCCGTTGAACGAACCCGATTTTTAGCAAACGCCTACATCAAGCTTGAGCTCTAGATAAGTAGAATGAGGGTGATTTCATGGACGGCATAAGTCAGGTGAGTTAATCATGATACAATTTACAAAAGAAAGAGGTCCCACCGAGACTTGAACTCGGATCGCTGGATTCAAAGTCCAGAGTGCTAACCATTACACCATGGTACCCTGCCTGTTAATACGACTGTCCATAGTTTAGAGAAACACCACGTTTGAAATACACTTGTCCGTATGTTCTACTAGCAGACCCGTTCAATACTTCGTTGTATGAACAAAAGTTTCTCTTGGAAACTAAAAGCACTTGGGAAAGGCTTGCCCGACATAGTAACAGTTTAAGTACGCATAGTGAACTCCATCCATGAAGATGCCACTATTCATCGCAAGTGAATTAAATGATTAGTAACGATGGGTAAGTGAGAAATACATAACTTGAAATACATTAATAGATAGGGTTATCACGTTCAAAAACAAAATCAGGCTGATTCCGTTCAACAAACCTGATTTTAGTAGAATAAATATTTGATTTACTGGAAAATATTAATTTTGGTATCATAAATTAATTAGGGTAACAAATACATTAGGGTAACAGCATATTGATTAGGAATAGAGCATTTCTCGGTTTTAAGCTACAGATTTTTAAAGTGTTTGGGCGAAAAGTGAAAATGAATTGATTCTATCATATGATATAATAATGTTTTTTTCATTTAATATACCTGAATCATCGCATACGCCATCCCTGTAATCAACATCGTCTATGGCGATATCACCCAGCTCTCCGGTACCTACGGTCGCCTCAAATATCAGGTGATATGGAATGGATGACGTAACAGTGACCTGCTGACCGTACCACGCGTTGCCTAGGTTACCGGCTGTAGACCAGAGAGGTGTGTTGAGGTCTGATTGCAACTGCGGAATGACATAAATTGGTTGAACTTGGTAAACTAAGTAAATAGTAATGGACAAACTTTTTCCTCAGAAAATAATATAGCATGAAGTAATTTTCTTTCATTGGGAATATAGGCATCTTTTGGGCATAAGCATACGCGGAAACATATTAAACACATGCAGATACTTTGATATGTACATTTTTATAGACATGCTTGCACAATCAAAGAGTGACTGAGTGTCGATAAGTGGCGTTTTTCCGAACTGTTGTGATTATTTTGTCTAGTATTAGACAGTTTTGGGTCGACATTTGATGTAGGTTTTTCACAAAGTGTCGGGTATACTGAACCCGATACTTTCGGCCATAAAAGGGGTGTATTTCACCAGCGTTAAGAATTATGGACTAAGTGTTCACGATAGCTCGTGTTCCCGGAAAACACAAATATCCAAAAGAACGAAGTATACGAACATGACTACCCTAAGTAGTTTCAATGGTGGTGAACAGATCAAATATATGTTTAAAATTGTTCCTTGTGTAATAATTTAGTTATGCTTACAAAGAAATATAAAAATGTGTAATAAAACGTAGAAATATGTACCTTGAATGCTAGTGTATACACATCTGGTCCGTACATGTTGTAGTAAAATGTCCAACAAGTCACGCCGGAAGGTTCGGGGGTAAAGGTAGGTCCTACCAGCCTGGCCGTGTCACCAAGGGTCTTGTTAGTAGCATCAATATACATGTACTTTCCTGATATAGGGAGACAAGGAGGAAGGAAGAGAGATATGGAGATAATTCGATGGGGAGAGTGTTAGGACCATTTGGAGGAGAAGGTGTATTAGTGAAGCATATAAAGCTATTTTTAAATGTACAGTTAACAGCTAAATTGATCATATACTTGCAATTATGATGTTTAAACAAAAATCTATTTCGTAACTTAAAGCCACACTGTCCTACTGTAGCTACTTGCTCCCTCTATATAGAATTTTAACTGGTGACCATTAGTCCCCTATGATCCTCTTTTTCTTAAGCTAATTGAGAGCTTAGTCGATGAGATAACCACCTATCTAGTGACCACACAGGGCGGTCTAATCCCTCGAAATGTCTATTCGAAGTTTGATGACTACTATTGTAATACTAGATACTAGATACCATTTTTAGCATTGTCGTTTACTATTTATTTTGCTTATAATAAATATCTGTATGATAAGACGGAAACAAACAAAAATAGCTTACCATAAACTGTACCATATGTAGCATCTACATCCGGGCCTGTACCGACGGTATCCGTACTACCATCGCCCCACAGCCAATCAAAATCATCCGTATCATCTTGAATGTACTGGCACAAGTCAGGTGACTGGAAGTCACATGCATGAGCAGCTAATGAAACAAATAAGAAAGGATTTTTTGATCCATTACACGCACAAATAACAAGGAAACATTTTGTGCTTCCAAGCGACGTTTGTTCACACTTTAGACGATAGTTAATGAAAAGTAAAACATAAATAGGGTCTATGTGAGAAAGATTTAAAAACTCGATGACAATATTAATTGTAGCTAAGCAGTAGCCTAAGCAAAAAAAAGAATACAACAAAGAAAAGATTTATAACAAAACCAAAAATGACAGCAACGGACGTTTGACTATTTTCCTTTGTAGCAAAATATTTTCTTATCTGTTGGAAAATGTTACGATAATCGTGCACGTTCCTGTACATATATTTCAAAAAACTCATTTGCAGCATCTAGCATCTTTTTGAAAATGTTACCCTTGAAAGAAAAAAAAAGACGAAGAAGAAAGAAAAGAGGAAACAAAAGTAGAAGATTTAAAAGTCACCTTCACACTCTCCTTCATAAAGATCAAGGTCATCGAGCGCTATATCGCCAGTGAATGATGATCCCCGTACAGCTTCATAGATCACCTGTAAGAGCAAACAAAGTACAATTGTATTGATAGACCATGGAACTTTATCTTCTGAATCAGTACGACTCATCACTATTCTAGGGCCCCGTTTCACAAAACTTTTCATCAGTGACAAATGATAGTCTTTGTTAAAAGCTACTGAAATCCTTGCTTTTGATTGGTTGTTAACATAGTTGTCACTAATTTTTGTCATTTGTCATTGAAAAAAGGCTTTGTGAAACAGGTCCCAGGAGACCTTTATTATAATATTTGCAAACGCAGAGAGCATTGGACATGCAAATAATTTTTTATGAGATCTGCTGAAAATGTCCATATTTAATGAAAAACATTCGCATATAAATATTGACGTCGATAGCGCGAAGCTATTATCCCTCCGACGAAAAAAGAGTGGAAAAGCACCAAAAACAACAACAGCAACAACGCAACAAACAGAGCAGGGTAGCTTATAATACAAGACAAAGAGACATAGTCATTCTGAGAGAGAGAGAGAATGTCAGTTAGTGTTTATGTGAGAGAAAAGAGAGAGAGAGAGAGGTGGTGTGTGTGTATGTGTGTGTGTGAGAGAGAGAGAGAGAGAGAGAGAGGGGGGAGAGAGCGTGTGTGTATGTGTGAGAGAGACCGAGAGAGAGAGAGAGAGTTAGTGTGTGTGTGTATGTGAGAAAGAGAGAGAGAGAGAGAATAAGAGAGAATAAGAGAGAATAAGAGAAAAGGATCAGCCTTATACACTGTTAGAAAAAAATTAAACAAGTTGTTTAAAATTTTAAACAACCACAAGTTAACCGGTGAATCGCTCAACTGTTGTTTAAAAATTAAACAACTTAAGATTGTTTACGTTTTGAACACTTAGTTGTTTAAAAATTAGAAGAAAAAAACTTTTAAACAACAGTTGTTTAGTAATAAAATTGCACAACTAGGTTGTTTAAAGCAAGTTGTGTAAATGTTAAACAATAATGTTTAAATTACTAAGCAACTTTTTTTATTCAATATTACTGCACAACTGGGTTGTTTAAAAGGAGTTGCTCAAATTTTAAACAGAACTGTTTAATGGTTATTATCTGGTTGTTTGAATTTGTGAAATGACCTACTGGAACCACTCCTGCAATAATCACAACGATTACACTGTAACATGTAGAGCTTGTTGCCAATTTACCTTAACATTTGTTCATCATATTCATTTAACAGTGACAGACAACATTATTAATTGTTTCTATAGCTTCACCTAAACCCCATCGGCGAAGCCGAGAAGAACCAAGTCGTCGCCTTGCCCTTGTTCCGCCATTTTCATCTGCACTGCACTGCACTAGCACTGCACACTAGCACTGCATGCTTGCATGCATGTACTATGTACGTACTTTGTGCATATCGCATGTGTGCGCACAAATTGCAATCGCGTATCGAGAAAATATCAACGACGCGAAATCATGATTGGTTAAATCTATCGCGTGATTTTTCCCCGGGACTTTTTAAACAACTCTGTTTAATTAAATCTTTTTGTTTTTTAATAGATAGTTGTTTCAGCCAATCGAGCACTGATTTTTCGATTTTGAACAACGTTGTTTACGTTTTTAAACAACATTCTTTTAAACAGTGATATTTTAAACACCGTTCTAACTGTGTATGGTATAAAGTAAGGCCTACTATTAGACTTAAGTGGTATTTTCACATCTTACCCTGAAATCATAAACATCCACCACACCAACCGATCCCCTGGTCCAGCTATTACCAAGGGACCCGGTCCTGGTCCAAACAGGTAGACCCGCCGCTGATTGGTTGTTTTGAATGTAAATATTGAGTGAGCCGATGGTGGCGCCATACATGTGATACCAAAATTCGAGACAGTACGAGCCTGCCGGTGCGAACGAACTGCGCAGGCGCGAAGCGTCGCCCTGTGCACCGCTACTTGTCTCGATGAATATGTAGGTGCCAGTCACTGTTGAAAATGAGAGTTTAAAAAGGTATATGTTTCAAAATGCAAATCATGAAAATGATATAATCTATAAAACGTCTTAATATGTCAAATTTCTCATGTGGTAGGATTAAAAAGTACATGAAATGTAAACATTTTTGTAGAAATATGAATAATGTAAGTGATCTTAAATCTACCGTCTTCTAACCAAAACACAAACAACCAAGTGCTTTCAACTCAATTTGTCAAAGTATACAAATTAAGATAACAGTGCTGTACAAATTCAGCATTACCAAAGCTTAAAGGTCGGCTGTGTAAATTCATTTGAAGTGAATTACACACAATTTTCTTATTGAACGTTATCACAAAAGGTGACATATAGCATATTAATCAATAACAAAGGTAGGCCTAATTTGTATTAGTTACAGGTCCTGTAATCATAAATAATGCAGTTTTCTGTTAATACCTAATCATTTCAATGCTATGTATAATCATAAGAAGTATTCCTAGAATCAAACTTACCAAGACCAGTTGTATGGTCTGCCGATGGCCCAGTTTCCACGGACGGTGTTAATCCTTGATTGAAAGACCAGTCGAGCTCATCGTCGCCGAGCTGTTCGTAGTTACACAAACCGTCCTCAAACGTACACGACCAAGGGCGAGGTACTAAATATGCATAAAGTGAATACGAGTTTAAAGACCGTCAATACTACTGGGCCAGATAGGATTAGACCACACAGCGAGGTCACTGACAGGTGGCTATCTCAATCACTCAACTCTCAACTAACATAATAAAAATAGGATCATAGGAGACCAACAGACACCGATTGTGGAAGTTTTCTATTTAGAGGGAGCAAGTAGCTACAAGTAGGGCGTTAATATCGGAAAATACGAGTATGATGTAAAACATGCCTTATATAATCTGTAAACCTTGTTTCTTGTTTGGACTAGGGATGTGTATAACTCAAAGCGAAGAAATACAATGTTGATCTATTTTTAATCTTCCCCTCGCCCTTTTTCTAATCACTCTGTTCATAATCGAATGTTTTTGAGGAATATTAATGTATTTTTTCCATCGGGAAGTCCCCCGGCTTCGTGGACGGAACAAGTCTAGTAAGTTCATCAATATAAAGCTTACAAAAGAAAGAGGTCCCACCGAGACTTGAACTCGGATCGCTGGATTCAAAGTCCAGAGTGCTGACCATTACACCATGGCACCCTGCCTGATAAATGAACTGTTTGTATCGATATATTTTACGTCAATTATACGTTTGTTTAACTCTCATTTCATCACTCCAACCATAGTCTCGTTAAAACTGTTAGTTATGTAGCATATATGAAAGGATTATCCTTCCATATGGGCACATGATAAGTAAAACACATGTCAGTTATTTCCTCACATACAATAGGTAATTATTTAATCCGGTCACAAGCCATATGGTAATGCATTGTTATATATTTTTACTTTACAATAAATATGATAGTTTATTTCAGCCGAACGCAGTATAATCATTACTATCTCCATCACTGGAGTATACAACGCTAACGCGCGCATACACACACGCAAACGCACGACAACACACACACACACACACACACACACACCCTCTCTCTCTCTCTCATAGCTAAGCGCACTAACACATTACCTCCACACGTTCCTTGAAACAAAGCCGTGTCGTCGATAGTGATGTCGCCCACCCATGTTAGTGGGTCGATTACGGCGCTGATGACGATCTGGTATTCGAGTAACGACGACACATTAAACTGACCGTACATCCAACCGTCCCCTCGGTCGCCGGTCTCGTTAAATAGCTGAACGTTGGTGTGGGTCGTGGGTGGAGCGAAGACGAGTGTAGAAGCGATGAGAGATGCTGAACCTGGGTGATGATAAGGGAAAAGAGCACAAATAATGCATAACTATAGAATTGAATATCATATAAATAATACAGTACGTATGTTACAACAAAGCCCAAACTTATTTATCTCTTTAGAACAATTATCATATAGTCGACCCAAACTGGACTGTTAGGATTAACAATGTTTACATGGAGCAAAAACAACAACAACTGCAAATGTAAATATGATGTACAAACTAATCTGCGTAGGCCTAATGCTCTCGCAGACGACTCTCACACAGTCTGCTAAAAACTTCCGGTAACGCAGTGCAATTTCATTTCTCTAATCCTGCATTTCTTGTAGTTTTTTTGTGAACACCAACCTTTGACCTTTGACCTACCTGATCCTCTGATATGGTACCAGAACGTAAAGCAAGCCTCATCCACGGGATCAAATACTTCACTGTACAGATCACCTGTATCACCAGTGAACATGACCACAGGGTCTGGAACTGTATCCACGAACATGTAGAAGCCTGGAAGGGGTGGAGAGAAAATAACTATGAAACATTACAATCGAATAGGGAACATTTCACGTGCTGGGTATTTGTGTTTTCTATAGTGGACTTAGCGTATTTTACTGTAAATTGATAAGTGCTTTATCCACACACCATTTCTTCACTTCATGGCACTCTTTGCAGCTACTTGCCTCACCTACCGTCCCGGTATAGCTTCCTAAGTGAGCTGCTAAATGGATTACTCCATCAAGTACCGAATATCAAGAAACTTCTACGATTTACATTTTATTATCACTCCATATATGTGTAGATACAGGTGAGTCACCAGTTATTTGACGTGGATAATTATATCATCCCGCGGCGGCCACAATGGCAATAAAAATGAACGTTTTAAACAAGGTACCAGGGTGGAGAGTGGCACATGTAGATTAATATATTGCCAAAGGACTCGAACCCCAGACCCTGTGATCCACAGTCCGGCGACTTATCCACTAGATCACAACACCTCTACAGAACAATGGATTCACTCAGATACAGAACATTTTGGTCATTCTTTATTCTTTTCTCGTTCTAAAGATAATTTAACTGTACCTAGATCATTTCCCATGGTGTGGTCATACGCTGGCCCTGTCCCATCCATATTGGTAGAGCTCGACGTCCTCTCCCAGTCTAAGTTATCACCACCTCTGTTCTGCCATGAACACATCCCATTCTCAAAGTTACAGTGTCCTTTGAAAAATATAGAAGAGGAGCAAATATAAGAAAATTGCCTCCCTCTACAATGTATGAGTGTCGTAGTCAACTGATATTTCATTATTTCATTCATGTATTTTTGTATTTATTCATTTATTCATGTTTTCGTTTGAAAACAAGGACTGTGGTAATATTAACACAGCTTTTTCACTGTACGAAAAAAACACCGAAGAATACAAACGCTCAATGTTGGTTTGTTTCTTTCTCAATATAACCAATCACTACTAGATGAATATCCAAATGTAAGCTTTGGGGTCGAAGAAAATAAATAGGGTTCCCGCATATCAATGTGCTGTAAGACAGACCTAAAATAATGGAGTAATAACAAACACTCTTTGTATGTGTAACTGATACGTATGAACTGAAGAGTTGAATGTTGTCTACCTATTGATTAAATAAATTAAAAAACCTTATTTTGCAACTGGTTTAATTTGGTTCAATAAGTGTTGTAAATTTGGGTTAAAAAAAAAATTGACCAACATTTTTTTTCTTCAAATAAAGCCTTTTTTCATTTGTTCTAAAAGCATAAAACAGTATTTATAAGTAAATGTACAACATGATAGATACATACGTTTAACAAACAAGGGACTATGAAAAACAAGATCTTAGGTATTTATAAAAGTAGGACTTGCCTCCGTCTATCATACAATTGTATTAACATATCTTGTTGCATAACAGATTGTTTGTTCAACTTCATAATAATATTTTAATCTTATTTTAAAACATGGAAATGATAAAGATACCTAGAAACATCCAAATAAAATATATTTTTGATGGTGATAACATACCTGGAGGATTGCAGGGTCCTGATGTGAATCCTACTTCATCGATGGTGATACCACCTTGACTACCTGTACCGACTACCCCTTCTATCACAGCCTGGGTATAAAAGGTGAAACGAAATGGTGGGGGAGAGACAAGGATAGAAAGAAGAAGAGGGAGAAAGAGAGAGAAAAAAAATAGAGATAGAAAGATAGAGAGAGGGTTGTGGAGACACAAAGAGATGGCAAGGGGAGAGAGAAAGAGATAGATATACATAGATAGATAGGGAGAGACAACAGTAAGAAGGGTGAGAGAGAGAGAGAGAGAGAGAGAGAGGGGTGAAGGAGAGAGAGAGAAATAGAAAAGAACATCAACTGCATACCCTCGAGCTCCTTCACCTAATTATTGTATACGGCTAAAGCCCCACTTATTGTTGATATTCATATAAAAAAGCATGTATCAAAGACTTTATTAGATTGTTGATGAACATTTAGTAGGCGTTTTCTACAGAAAAATACACACTGCGTCATGTTAATTATAAAGCAAAATCTCAATGTTGATATTTGCAAACAATGGCAGCAGATTATGGTAGACTTTACCTGGTAAGCTGTTCCACTGATCATGGTGACACCCGAAAACCACCAATAGTCATCGCGGTTACCATCAATAGACCATATTATATCACTCAAGGTACCATTGGTCAGCTGGTACACGTTAATTGCACCCACATCTACGGCGTCGATGTGGTACCAGAGACCAAGACAGTCCGCGCCGCTGTCTGGTGGTGATCTGAGGGCGCTGTTTATCATGGCTGAATCCCCAGGGTTCAACGCGGAGTCCTTTAGATCTATAAACGCATATCCACCTGGACCAATAAAGGAGAGGGAAGCGTATTTTATTCATTTCCAATAGCTTAAACAATATTCCTCTATAGAGCACAACTTCCGGTGATGTAACTATGTCAACTGTAATAGCCAGCTATGGTAATTTGGCAATTTCAATTTCGTGCCAAAATTAGATACAATCTAATGGTTACTTGGAATACTTCCTTAGTTTAACAATTTGGGTTTTCTAGAAAAGTAAGATAAATATCTTAGAATATATAACATGTCAGTGTTACGACTTCGTCATTGGTTTGCCAGATCTTACTGGGTAAATATTCTTCATGTCATCATTATCCATTCTAAGATTAATTCCCTTTTTTGTTTGTCACTTTTTTGGAATTACTTGTAATTCTGTTATCAAGATTGTTGACAATCGCGATGCAGCTCCTTAGGATGGTAGTGCTATAGGCTGTAGGAGAAAAAAAAATGAATGATGGCTAAAAAAAATAAACATGAAAAAAAGAAGAAGAGGTTCTGTGTATTGTATCCTGGGGGATTATACCTCCCTGCAAGGTCTCTGACAGGTGATTATCTCATCAAATCAACTCTCAATTAACATAAGAAATAAGGGATCATGGGAACGAATGGTCACCGATTACGCATTGTTTTGTTATATAGAGGGTGGAAGAAGCTATACGTAATGCAGTGGGGCTTTAAAAAAACTTACCTCCGATGACTCCCGATGTTTTGTCCGGTAGGGAGCTGGTCCCGGATGGTCCGTAACGTGTATCGGCTCCAGATCCAATCAGCCAATCAAAATCATCCAACAATATCTCCTGTGACCAATCACAGATGTCGTCTGAAAAGTCACATATTGCTGAAATGAGAAGCATAATACAGGCATAATACCTCATTTCTATTATGGCGTCATTCTCGGCATGAATATCTCCAAATTGCCCGCATTTTTGATCGTTCACTTATACATTTAAAGGTTCAACACAGCTTCAAAGCTCAACTGAAGAAATTAGAGATGAAGAGAGAGAGAGAGAGAGAGAGGAAGATAGAAAAATGGAGAGAGAAAAAAGAGAGAAAGAGGGAAAGAGAGAAAGAGAGAGACAGTGAGAGAAAGTGAGAGAGAAAGAGAGCATTATATATAGAGAGGGATAAAGAGAGAAATAGAGAGAAAGAGAGCGAGAAAGATAGAGAGAGAAGAGAAAGAAAAGAAAGAGAGACGGAGAGAGAGAAAAAAGAAAGAGAGAGAGAGAAAGAAAGAGAGAAAGAGGGAAAGAGAGAGAAAGAGAGAGAGAGGGTTGCGAAACCTACCTGGTGGAGGGCAGGGTCCCTCTAAGTATGTGATGTCATCAATCGCGATGTCGCTCTCCCAAGATGTACCCACTATGCCTTCAAACAGAATCTGGAAAGAGAGAAAGTTTGGACCTTTGAACAGAAAGTATACTGCAAACACTGTTAGTGTTAGTGACTCTCGAAATATCCTCAATTTGCGAACAGCTAACCTAATAAGTAGCCAGTGTTCTGGCTTTGTTCACCTCTTCAGGTACTGTGTCATATATCTAGCGCTGTTCCGTGTACCATACATTCACCTGGTGCATTGTTCTTGTTCATAGCTGGTTCCGCACTCCATTAATTTCTTGGTACGCTCTAAAGGTGCCTATTGTGACAATATACATATGGTACCATGAGACATATGGAACCACCATACAAATCCAAATATTAAACAAATACTAGTTGTACACCCTTTTCGTTATCTTCCTTGGTTCTGTGCTATTAATCCACACATCTTTGTACGACTTTGAGAGCTCTGTGTCATTGATCACGAGTTGCGCCATGTTCCACCGGTTCCAATGGATAGTCACTGGTTCTATTCGTGGTACCCTTTAAAGGTTTCTATAGTACCACCACTCGGAACCGACTATAACATACACAACATGTTTGCAACTATTTCACCTTTTTTTTTTCTTCTTTACCTTCGTTGGTTCTGTGCTATTAATCCAGAGCTGCGCGGTGAGCCACTCATTCGCCTGGTCTCCGGTTCTTGACCACCGCTGGTTCTTCACACCATTGTTTTCTTGGTACACATTGAAGGTGCCCATGGTACCGCCATACATATGGTACCACCATGCGAAGCATGCACCAGATGGGCCAGTCGGCGCCATCTCGGACGAGGTGAGGATGGCAATGTCCCCCGGTAATCTCGGCGCAGAAGCCTCGGTGAAGACGTACCCTCCTACGGGTCAAGAAAACCACTTGTAATCAAGAAATCGACAAAAAAGGCAACAAACAATTATATACGTTGCTTGTGCAGGTATTGAATGATCGAATAGGAATGGTAAGAATTTAGTAGTACACATCAATACAAAGGCGGCACTGTGCACTTACATATTAACATGAACATCTGAAAAGAAAACTGTACGAAAGACTTGAGGGGCTACCACAGATTACTGGGAGGTTTACACCAACGACCCTCTCTATCTTCCCCCAATACCAAGAGTCTTGATAATCAGGGGGGGGGGGATGTTTCACAGAGATCCTAAGTTGAACTTATCTCTGAGTTGGACTTAAGAATAATGGAAAGCCGTTAGTATGTATAACAATATTTTGTAAAAGTTTTTTTTGAAAGGCATAACATGTTAATGCAAATCATTCATATTTTCAATTATCAAGGAGATTTCATGTTCTTGATGTGGAATTTATAACAATTTTAAAATACTTTTGAATATATTATATTTTAATGCTACAAATGGCACTACATAATTTTTAAGTCCAACTTAGAGTTAAGTTTGGCTTTAATAGGATCTTTGTGAACACCTCCATGTTTGAAGTCACCCAAGAACGCATTTATCGGCCTCTTGGGCTCTCCGTCTGTCCAGCCTCCAAGGCTGGACCCCTGGGAGCGTTTCACAACGCCCTTTTTCAATGACAAATAGCAAAAATCAGTGACAGATCTGCTGATAACCAATCAAAAGCCTGGATTTCAGTAGCTTATAACACAACATGTCCTTTAACGCTGATGACAAGTTTTGTGAAACGCACCCCTGTTCATCGAAACTTTTACCTGTCCCAGATGTGTGGTCACCACTTGGTCCTGTATCTACAGAAGGTGTGGAACCACTGAACAATGTCCAGTCGAACTGGTCAGTGATGTCCTGTGTCCAGTCGCAGATGGTGCTATCGAAGGAACACGAGATCCCTTGACCAGCTTGATTTGGGTCAGCCGCTGGAGGTGCAACTGTGTGCAGTCGGAGAAAGAATAAAAGTAAGATTAGTCTATAATTGTTTCTTTGTATGTTTTCTAATTAATTACAATGCGGTGTTAAACAACCTTTATTCAGCCACACTGATGCTTTTCAGCAAGTACGTATAGAAAAAAGACAGCAGTACAAGAAGAAAGAACTATACATTATTTTATAAGAAGAAAATATATATTACGAACTAAATGAAAAAATACAATTCATACAAAAACAACGTAAGTTTTATACAATTGAAAAAGTAAAGAAAACAGGGGTAGGAACTGAACAGGTTAGAAAATGAGAAGTAAAACGAATAATGGGATTTGACTTTCAAAGATGAATTATATTTAGGTAACAGATTGTAAATATGAAAGTGAAATTGGTAAACGGTAAGGAATTGTAATATATTTCAGTAATTAGTAATTCAAACACATATACAAGTAGTTTCTACGTGCTTCATCGTACTACTTTGAAAACGCTTCGCATTATAAAGTCATATCAGATTTATATTCGATTTCGTTTAAACAATGTATGAATCAGAAGGTCTCAGTGTCTCGTTTGACTTTGGCGATCATGCTATTCCCCAACCCTTGGTTCCTAGGCTTCTGTAATAGTACCACTCCCATTCCTTTCACTCCTCTCTCTTCCAACAATTTCTGTCCATTCAAAGTATCCTCCTTCTTCCCCTACTCCTTCTTCCCACAATTTCTCCTGTCAAACCAGATTATCAATGCCTTCTTCACGTGACCCAAAAGAAGAAAGAAATGATTGCCTAATTAAAGAATAAAATAATATTTTACAAGGTAGGTCACCATTTTAGTTGCATAAATCTATTTTTAAATGAAAAGTCTAAGAAAAAAGAAGAACAACAAAATTATTGCTTAATCCGATAATATTTTAGCATCATTTTTAAATTGCAATGTATTTTTTGTTATGTGTACACGTTATTATTTTAAATATCAGGGCTACAATTTGTTCGGAATCGAATCATTTTATCCGTACGTGAGTATATAAATAGTTTTTTATGACAGATTAAAACTTAAAAATATCAACATACCATCACATGTGCCCGGCACAACTAAGATATCATCAATTGCTATATCACTGTAGAAGCCTATGCCAACAACGCCCCAAAACTCAAGCTGCAAGATAAATGAAAAAATAACGTCGAAAAGATGGACCAACAAGTCATCTCATTTTCTGGTACATTTAGTTGAAATTTCTATCTTTGTTTATAAAATTTTGATTTTGTAATATTAGATTAAAAAGCAATATTGTCAAAATAATGTAGAGTATATGAGATACATTGTTTTAATATAATATAAAAAATACTCATAGGCTATACTTTCCGATTGTCTTGTTTCCATGCATGCAATAACTCTTTTTTTGTCTACCAATTCTTAATAATGCTAACAATATGAATTGTATCCAATACTGATATCCAAGATAATAAACATTTTATAATAATAATAATAATAATAATACTAATAATAATAATAATAATAATAATAATAATAATTACAATAATCTTTTAAAGTCCACTCCAAATATATTAAGTTCAACCGAAAATGGAAACTCTTTTTGCCCGATTGATCGCGAGCCCGGCAGCCACTGAGCAGCGCCAGATCGACGTTGCTCTATCCCTTATTGTTGAACGCCAAACAAGGTAGCAGCAACTCCCGTCTGTTAACGTCTTTTGGTATAACGCAGCCGGGGTTCGAACCCACGACCTCACGGAACATGCCTCAACATAATCAAATATTCAAGTTTATTCTAAATAATTGAATTCTGCAAATGCATTGGTAATAATCACCGAACTTGGGTAACAAACAAAACAACTACTTTTAACCAAAAGGGGGAGGGGGAGAGAATTGTTTTATTTGTTTACGGTTACAATAAAAAATGGTTGAAATACAGTATTTATTTACTTTTTCCCATGGCATAAAAATAGTATGAGCAAATGTACAGATTAATAGATACATTTGTTTGGCCAAAAAATATACAATGACCAAAAATAATTTGGTGCTAAATTAGTTGGACGTGCCTCAATGTATCATGAAATAAAATAATGTTGCATATAGATTGTTTCAACTTCATAATGATATTCTAATTTCTTTTGAATGCATACCAAAAATGTAATTAGGAAGTGTTAACTGAAATTCGTTAGGGGTATATTTTTCAAAATCTTCTAAGAATCTTTCAATTTACCGTGAATGTTCCGTTAAGGGTAACTTGTCCCTGTATCCAGTGTGTCTGATCGGTACTCTGTTCACCGTACAGTAGCCATAACAACTCAGGAGGATCGGTGTTCCCAGAAGAAACGTCTTGTCTGTATGAATTATTATGGTTTTACATTGTTTAAAAGATTACACTGCTTCAAACAAAATTTCATTCGTAGTTTAAGTTACCTGATCCGTTTTCACTTTATTCTTATAAGTCACACCTGATCATCCAGTGGTTACACGATAGACTGTACCGTGTATTTTTTGGATAATTACTGACTAATAAGATTAAAGTGAAAATAATAATAATAAAAATAATAATAGGTATTTATTAATTGGATGAGCTATCTTCACTTTCATTTCAAGATTAATACCGTATAAAATTTGTGAATTGGGTGTTTAGTCATCGAATGAAGATACTGAATTATTTAAATTAGCTACTTACTTGTATAGCCTGAGATCAGCTATTTGCGTGCCATACATATTGAACCAAAACGTAAAACATGCGACCCCGTCGTTTGTCGTATAAACAGGGCTGATCAGCTTCGCTGTATCACCGGGTAGCTGTGGTGAACTGCCCCCGATAAATACATATTGTCCTAGTAAATAAAAGTCATGAATGTTAGTTGAGGAAAAGGTCTAGGAATCATTTTGGGGACGTATTTTATTATATAACAAATGCTACTTCCATAACTTTATATCTGCTCAAAAAAAAAAAAATATTTGATCAATATTTTGTAACAAGCAATCTATTTTTCATCTAAAGTCAAGGAACTACCATCAGAGAAAACGTGAATATTTTAATCATGATGCGTTGAAGCAAAATATAACTTTGTAATTCACTCTATGTTCGGGCTTAACATTTAATAACTTGATAATGCAGGATTGAATGCGTTCTGTGATAGCTTTTATTGTTTCATTTGAAGGAAGGGGTTGACTTGCCGATTAATACGTCAACCGAATGAATAAAGATGATTATCTTGCTTCATTATAACATTTCCCCATTAATTATGAACATTTTGAAACAAATTACAATTCAATCACAATTATAATCTAATGGTACCTACCTGAACCTGTAGCCCCTATGGTGTGGTCGTAGAGGGGGCCGGTGGAAGCTGAAGGGGTACCACCTCGCACCCTTATCCAGTCAAACTCATCATTTCCTGCATTACTCCATTGACAGAACATATCGTTCTCAAAGTCGCAGTCCACTGAAAAGGGAATATGAAAATACGACGTTAGATTAAATTGTCATTAGTAACAAAGTATACAAATCTAATCACATTCACAATAATTTCTAAATATATTGAAAATACATCTGCACTTTGCGTACGTAAGTTTTTTATTTGAAGACATGTTTGGAAAATTGTCTCCTCTCATTCTTCATCAGCTGCTTCACCTTTCTATGAAGGCCTGTTGATAAAGTTTGTGTTTGAAAAAGTAAAGGAAAACTTCATGCAATGAGTCCCGAAGGGCATGTCTTTGTTAATACAGGCCTATACATTTATAAAAGTTAAACACAGGGAAAAAAAGTTTGACACAATCGTTCGCTTATTATTTTTTCTCAAATCAATTTCACTGCTTAATATTTATTGGTTATTTCCATATGATTTGCCTTTTCTTCTTATTTTGAGAAAACATGAGGAAAAATTGCGTGGAATGGAGTCTTCTTCGAATCGAAAACAAGAAACTCTCTTTCTATCCCCTCCCCATTAAATTGTATAGCTGACAATGTCTGAGGGCACTGCAAATGTTTTTTAGTCACTGGATTTTGCAGCAAAGTGTGTATAGCAAATAGTGATCAAAAATAATATTTACATAATCCTCCGCAGCTGCCCTCGATCATCCTGACGTTGTCGATTGCAATGTCTCCTTCTTCTCCTGATCCGACAACGCCTTCAAAGACGATCTCGTATCCATTTGAGGTGATCTCAAAGGCGGTACTATACCATTGGTTGCCTTGGTCACCGGTTATTGATGCAACAGTGGTGGTGGTAGCATCCGCATTTTGGGTCTGCAGTGAAAGAAAACGAACTCGGATTGAAATCCAGATGTTTTTACAAACGCAAAACCTAATCTTACGCACTCCTGTTTGCATATCTCACGAAAACGTACGATTTTTTTTCCTTGTCAAGAATTCAACTTTCAAAGTTGATCTATTGAGAAAAAAACAACAACATATAACAACAACAATGAAGCTACCAAAAACTTTTTCGAGATCTGCATTTTATATTCAAACTTGCCTAAAGTTCGAAGATATGTTCTTTTCATGTTATGAACAGTATGCATATTTGCATAATCGAACAATCGTTGAAGTTGTTTTCTTTTATATTAAATACGATTTTCATACCGTTCAAATACTTTTGCAAACGAAAATATTAAAGTGTCATGCGCATTGCATGTCCCAATACGTACAAGTAGAAATGTAAATTACCAGTGCCCCATAATATTGCAATTGCAATTAAGCACAAATTATTTGTGATTGAAATCAATAAAAACCATATGGCCCGAATTGATTTCGGTCCCATTTGTTCATAAAAAGAAAAGAGACTATAAACTGTAAACGATTGTTTGGAGTAGTTGCGACTGATTTATAACAACTGGAACTCTGTGTAACAATTGCAACTCTTTATAAAAAAAATGTAACCATTTATAAGACAGGGCCCTGGCAATTACAAACAAGAAAGATTCGCACTCACCAATACGTTCAAGGTGCCGACGTCCTGCCCGTACATATGGAAGTACAAACTCCAGCAGACGGTTAAAGTCGTATCCGTTGAAATATGAGGTCCAATCAGACGAGCTTTGGCACCAGGTGAATTCGGTTGGGATGCCTCAATGTACATGTAGTGACCTTGGGAAAAGAATCACAATGAAAGTGATCACAAACAAAATCTACAGAATAGATCTAAACAATTGGCAATGGATTTATTGCCGAATCATGTTCAAATTACGTAACGTGTCACTGCAACCTTCTCACAAAGGGGATGCACAAGACTAAATAAATTCGCAAATGTTTTTTTCATTTTCATTTGGAAAATCTCTTCGGTCGTGATTAATTTCATTACAAAATGATATAAGGCAATTCCGAGATTACATCAGCTCTGTAAATAGATAACAAGGAATGTATTAAATACATAACATACCGACATTTAATATGAAAACAAATGATTATGACACTACCTCTGTATAAATGGGATATAAGAAACAATAACATACCGATGTATGAAGTTTGAAAGAGTGTATCGAAATAAAGTTAAAAACAAAGGCACTTAAAAAAATGAGGTAAGAGCATAAATCACCTCAGCTACAATCTACATTTGGTGCCCTTTGGTAAGGCATTGCTCTTCATTACCAAGTCCATCGCAGAGGACTCAAAGACGTTTGTTCCCTCGTCGCTTACTTACACGAATACACATGCTTTCTTAGCAGTCAGGTGAAACAAAACTATTACATATTCCTTACCATAAGCGGTTCCATATGTAACGTCAACGGAAGGCCCAGTGAGTGACGTAGGCGTGTCACCTGATCCGTACGTCCAATCAAAATTGTCGGTGGTATCTTGTCGATAGCCACAGAGGAGAGAGTTCTCAAAGTCACATGTCGGCGTGGCTGAAAAACATGGGAACATGATAATTCAGAAATTATAGGTAAACACCGTTTTTATCTAGTTTTAATGCAGATGTATTTTTAGCTTGGGCCCGTCTTATACAGAGTATACTACTAAAAGTGGATGAAGATATTTCATGATTTACATTAAATGCACTTTTAATCTGCTTACAAGTAAATACAGATATATAATTTAATTTGATCTAATTTAATTTGATCTCATTAAACAAGAGATGAAGTGCTTATTATAAATATCTATGATGTTATAGGTGATTTTGCATCTGAATAAAGATTGATATTAAGAAGAAAAGAATAGAGAGTTGCGATTGATCCAGATCAATGCATAGTTACGATTAGTATCAATAGTTTATAAGACGGGTTCCTGATATGCACGATAGGAGTTCGTGGACTTCAATTGATTAAAATCCCTTGTTTATACTTCGTCCAATACTGACCAATTAATAACCATTGCAAATAAGATACTACATGGCAATAGACTGAAATAACAATAAATAAGTCGAATAATTATGATCAGGATCATAGCGAAGTAACAGGAATATATTACAAGTGGGTTCTATCTTTAACTTGGAAAAAGTGTTCAACGACTGTGGTGCTTGTGCCATATTACTGAATAAGTATATTTCATTTTGTGTGTCATCTATTAAAGACAGTGGGGACAAAGTTTAGATCCTTCAAATTTTAAACCTGTCTGAAATAGTTTGGCGTGGAGGGATTAGACCTCCCTGCATGGTGACTGACAGGTGGTTATCTCATCAAATCAGCTCTCACTATCACATAAGAAAAAGGGGATCATGGGGGACCAACAGGTACCGCTTAGGCAATGTTTGCAATGTTTGCTCACTTATATGCCTAGTTAATTTCTTGATAAGAATCTGACTTTCAAGTCGTCGGATACTGTGTATCCATTTATGAATGTATCTTTAATAGTTTAAAAGTGTATTGCAAATAAGGGTATTAAAATATTTGTTTTACCTGGGCAGTCTCCGGGAAAGATTCGGATGTCATCTATTGCTATATCTCCAGTGAACGAGGCTCCAACATAAGCTTGGAACACAACCTAATCACATAACAAAATGAAAATGTACAAATAAAGGGACCCGTTTCTAACAAAATAATAATAATAATATTGGTTTCTTATATAGCGCACGTATCCACCTTGCAAGGTGCTCAAGGCGCTCTAATATTACCCGGCTCTGCTAGGCTGCCGATTTCGGCGCTTGCAGCATTCGAGGAATTCCTTCCTACCGGTACTCACTAATGATTCTAACAAATACCATATACAGAGTAAGATAAACTGTTTTTCTTTCAGAAACATTATATTTATGTAATGCTTACAAAAGGTGGATATCTGTTGATATGCAATGACATTTTCTCATAATATTATCTTTAGAAATTATAATAAATACAATTACAGTGTAATACTAATGCCCAATGATTATAAATGATCAGAAATTTATCTGGCTTTACATTGCACAAGTGAATGAGGAAAAAAAAAACAGATTTTAAACATTAAACAGAAACAAAATTCACCAAAAGTACAAAACAAATTATTTTGAACAGCGAGACAAACAACATCACAATTTCCTTATTTGTACATTTGTCTTTTATTAATAGTGTTTGTATAAAAAAGCTATGTTTTTAAATGTAAATACATTCATAATTTGTCAGGGCCCCATGGAAGACCACTACTTTTTTGTGAATGAGTTACCCTGACAAAAGATCAGAAATAAATTAATAGATAAGGAAATCTCCAAATAATTTAAATTCTAGTTGTTTGATCGATCTATCTTACTCTTCAAAAGCCTTACCTAGTAAAGATTAATTACACCCTAAGCTTGGCGATTCCCCTTACCTGGAAGGCCACCTGTTCAGCAATGACCACCGAGCCGGGGTACCACACGTCTCCCTTCTCCCCCTGACTGCTCCATACCACATTACCAATATCACCAGGAGCTGAGTCGTTCCTCCGCGTGAGGAGGTTAAGGGTCTCAACGGTCGGTCCAAACATATGGTAGTAGAAGGTGAAGCATTGGCGGTAGGTGGTGGGGATGAGCGTGCTCATGAAGCGGGCCTCGTCACCCGGAACCCGGGGACTGGACGTCTCGATGAAGACGTAGTATCCGGTCGCTGTCGGGTGGGGGTGGATAAGAAGGGGGAAGGGAAACAAATAAGAATGGGAATTAAAAGAAAGAGGAATAAGTTAGGAAATGATAATGACGATAATAATCATGATTATAATATTAATAATGATAAAAAGAATAAAAAGAAGAAGAAGAAGGATCAAAAAGAAGAATGAGAAGAAGAAGAACAAGAAGAAGAAGAAGAAAATGAAGAAGAAGAGGAAGAAGAAGAAGAAGGAGAAGAAGAAGAAGAAAAAGAAGAAGAGGAAGAAGAAGAAGAAGAAGAAGAAGAAGAAGAAGAAGAAGAGGAAGAAGAAGAAGAAGGAAACAGATAACATAGAGAAGAGTAGGAAGTAGGAAAAGATCCAGAAAAAGTAGAACAACACCAAGAAAAAGCATGAAGAAATTAAATGTTAATCAATTGTAATAAATACTGTTTACTGTCTCTCATCTAGTGGAATTCGGCTTTAATTTAGAGCATGAGCGATGATCCAGCCGCCCTTTAACACGTACTTGAATGCTCTCATTTCTAATTGGTTGCTTGAGTGTTTGAGTGCTGCAATCATTGCTATCTCTGATGCACTTAGTCTCAGCATTTTGATTGGTATCAAACATGTCAAATTGTAAAGGTGTACCGCCAATCAATAGACCATCATTGGATTAATTTGAATTTAATTTAAATGGCTTACCCGTGCCTGTTGTGTGGTCTATGGATGGTCCTGTATCTAGGGATGACGTGGCACCGGTCAGCCTTGTCCAATCAAATGTGTCGTCCTGAGCCTGTGTGTAGCCACACCAGTCATCTTCAAAGTCGCAGTCCCACTCGAAAGATTCTACGTAACCAAATCATTAAATCAATGTTGTCATTTATCAGCATATTTTTCAAATTTAATCATTATTCATAGGATATAACACAAATCAAGCAACTGTTACCTTCATTTATCTGATTTTTAATTTCACGGTCAATAAAAAGACATCTTTAATAAATAAACTGTACATCCGAAAACTGATTGCACTTATCTTTGGCACTTTGGGTAATTTGATTTCTTTTTATTTCGTTTCATTTATTGCTTGAAAAGAAAAGCAATTATGACACGTAAAATACCCTTGCCCAAATCGATATCCATCCCTTTAATCCTGTAATTAATGAATTGAAATTTGCGATGCAGGAAAAACTTTAATCTATGATTCCGACTCCTAACTGACATATTAAACCACTTTGTATGCAGCGTACTTCGGAATTATGCAAAGAATTAGTAGCAAGACTAAGACAAATTAGCAGGGAGAAGTTATATTTCCAGGAAAATTGGTATTTCTTTATAATGTTACAAAGTATCATAACGTTAGGGTAACGAATCTCCAAACCCGGATAAGATGATAATACATTATAAACAATTGTTACCATTACAGAGTCCATCGACGGTAATAAACGTGTCGTCGATGGCTATATCCCCTGTGTAGTTCGCTCCATAGGTCGCCTCTATCGCTATCTGGTATGGGTTCAAGTTGGATGTTGACACTTGACCTTTGACCCATCGATCACCATGGTTACCAGACTCACTCCACTCCAGGGCCATGTTACCATTGACACCATCGATTAGGTAAACGTTGAGTTCACCAACACCTAAAAAGTTATTTTAAAATCAATTGCTGTGAAGCCTGAAATTCACTTCGTTGTTTGAAGGGATTGAACAAAACAATGTTCATGTTTTCAAAATAAATTAAATTATCATCATGAATTTGAACAAACAATCTACACGCCATAAGATAGATTTGTATTTCTTATTGGATTGAGGCACGTCCAACTTATCTATACTGAGAGAATATTGTTTCAATGTCACCTTTTCTTTGTCAATGTATGTATCAATCAATTTGTACATTTGCTCGTATTGTTTATGCTTTGAGAAAAATTGAATAAAAAGACTTTATTTTAAAAACAAAATATCAAGGTGTTATCATTATAAGAGGAACAGTTTCGTTCTTGTTTAAGACCGCAAATGCCTTCAGAGTGCATGGTTATTGATCTTATTATTACTCATGACATTTCTAGTGCCTTCTTGGGGTCTGATATTGCTATGAAGGTACTTGTAGACTACAAAGTTTTTAAAATTTATATTAAATCCTATCATACCAATTCAGCTGCACTTTGAACAAAATTGCGGTGACCGTTAATTTAGTTATCTAATAATAATAATAATACACCGGAGCCCCATAAATATTATAAATGGTTATATTTATTTATGGATATTTCTGCCGTCTCTGAACCGATTATGGTAAACAAAAAAGAGATGATTTTGTCATTAGATTACAGACTCTTTTCAAATTTGACACTCAGTTTATTTGGCCCTCTGCAACAAAGCTCATCTATCCCTTTTATTTAAATTCCACTTACCTGCACCATACATATGATACCAGAAAGTGAAGCAGCCGTCAGAGGGCGGGCTGAATTCACTAATCAACCATGCCTTGTCACCAGCAACAAGCGTGCTTGTTTCGATGAACACGTAATGACCTAAAAGACAAAGAGAATATAAACAAATACATGCCTTTAATCCTTCATCAATAACGTGTTACTCTACAGATAATGATGTAAAGAAAAACGTCTACTATGTCCATTAGGAGGAAAATATTAAGATGCTTAACAACACTTCCCCCTCCACCCTTATGTTACCTTCATTTGGCATTGTTGGTATTTTTTCGTTTGCTTGTTGGTTTACGTCTCTGTGCTTTGTTCATTTTTATTATTTCATAGAAGAAAGCACAAAGAACACAGTCTGTCCTGTTTGGCCATCGCATTACAGACTTTGCAATTTATTTGCCAAATATTTTAGTACCTTAATAATTGAATAAAGAGTAAGTATCCCATTTGAAAGGAAAACAATAAATGGAGATTTACAAAGAAAGAGAGGGAAAAACTTAGACGAAGAGAGAGAGAGAGAGAGAGGGGGGGGGGGCTAAAGTGGAGCGACAGAAATGTAATCTAATGCCAAAGAGGAGAAGCCGGGACAAAGACATTATTATGTGAAGTGTGGTTGTGAGTATGCAAGGGAGAGAGAGAGAGAGAGAGAGAAAGAGAGGAAAGTTACAGTGGGACGGTGAATAGAAAGGGAAACCAGACATGGAATAAATGTAGTTACCACTCGACGAAGAAAGGGTGTGGTCTTTGCTAGGCCCGGTCGTGACACTGGGCGTGGCACCGCTACTCAATGTCCAATCAAAGTTGTCCCCCGTCCGTGTGTTGGTCCAGTAACAGTAGTCAGATTCAAAGTCGCAAAAACCTAGAAAAGAACAATAATAATACTAAATAATACTTCTGAATCTGATTAATTTCAAGTATTTCCACAAATCTACGTAATTCTTGAAGTTTGATATAATCATGAACAAAATCAAATCATACGTTTTACTTGTAGTATGTAACGCGCTTCATATTTCTATATCTTAGAACACAAGGCTAAGACGATCTTTGTCGCATGCTGTTGTTATTCTTTTGCACGTAATCAAGCTTATTATAATAAGACCACGGTTCATCGCGGCACATATGACGAATCTTTATTGTCTTTGCAACGTTATTTATATGTAACATCAAAACTGATATCAAAGTCTTATTTAATTTACCTGGTGGTGCGCACGCTCCGTATTCAAACGTGATGTCATCAACCAACATATCAGCAGCGGTCGTTACACCTACAACAGCCTGAAGTACAACCTTTAAGGCAATAGAAATAAGAAGAAACATTTTCAAAATGTTATAGAAAACAATGTGTGTACATTTTTAAAAAGGGGATTTAGATTATTATTTCTTGAAGGGAGCTCATTATTAAGAAAATATAAGCGCTCTCATTCTTTGGAAAGATTTACTTGCTGTACCTTTAACGACAGTTTAGTACTCTACCCTAAAATGCATTGCTGGTAGTTCACTCAAAAAAATATGAATTTTGAAGAAGAGAAAATGAAAAAAAAAATTGAAGCAGAGAAAATGAAGAAAATAGACAACGATATAATATGGAAGGCTTACTCAAACGACTAGTTTCTTATGTTTCATCTTTGCTTAACGTTAGTAGGTATAAGGATCTTAGTGATCATCTAAACGCAAATTTGTGTGCTGTGTACTAGAAATTAGAATAAGATTATTGTTATTGTTATTGTTTGAAACCATCCTTCGGCATCGTTTTTTCTTAAATAACATGCGTTATTGATTTGGGTCCATTCGTAGATTAGATTCATTCGAACATACAAATATTCATGCAATCGACAAACTGGTCTCACCTGGAATGTCGCATTCGATTTTAAAGTCACACTCGCAAACTGCCAATCATTCGACGTCACTCCAACTGTCGATGTCCAATACGGCCCATAGAGGGCGCCATTTATAGACTCCCAAACTGCCAAGTACCCTTCATTCGGGTCATTATGTATGTGATACCAAAACGTCATACAATCGCCCTCTTCTGTTGCGTCATATGAGGGACTGTAAATCAGTGCTTGGTCACCAGGAGCACGTTCCGATGTCGTGTTCGCAAAAAGAACGTAACCTGTAATTTGAAACAAATTATGATAAACAAATGAACCAACAAACAAGCAAGCGAGATTCACGTTTTGAATCGTCGTTTTATATACTCAAATTGTTTTTTGAAGGAGTATAATTTAAAATGCACTATTATTATCAATTCATAACCTGAGGAATAAAAATCTGACCTATATATGAGTTAGGGCTTAAATGATCTTGTGAAGGCAATGATGAGAAGACAGTTGCCATTTTACTGATATTATTTTTCTAACCGTTTTACAAGTATTAATATCTTATTTTGCAAAGAATCGGTTGCAGATCCGTTATCTTAAAATCATTTTTTGTTACCCCCTGTCACTCCGTGTATGTTGTTTTCTTATATTAATATGTAGCAATGATAATATTAATTGTTTAGAAGTTTCAAAAAAATCTAAATAATATCATAAACCTTATCATTTACAAAATCACGGAACACGATAGGAAACATAAATTACATAAACGTTCATACACAAAGCTGTTATAATATTTATCTTTTCATGAAATCATTGTATTAATGTGTTTCATTCATGATATATAACATTTGTAGCATCTAAGAACTTTCTTGATCAATCGAAAGAGTCATATAGATTAAACATTCTGAGAAGATATACAGTGGAATAATCCACGTTGTCACAATTATGTCACGAAGAGAGGTAACAACAAATTACTCTAACTTTATGAGCTACAGAGTAGTACCATCACAAAATGTAATGTTATTACATTATAACACGTAGATAAAGTCATCAGTGGAATATAGGTGAAAGGGGGACTAACGTACCTGCCGGGGTTCCCGTTGTATGGTCGTTGTATAAAGAGCCACTAGGGACTTCAGAAGCTTTTCCTCTTACCCAGTCAAAGTCATCTAGGACAGCTTCCTGCTTCCAGCTACAATCACTAGCCTCAAAGTCACAGGTTCCTGGAGTTTGAAGAATACCATAGAAATCGATTGAACTTTAAAGAAAAATGTTAATTTTGCCAGAGGCGTAATCCACTTAATTATCCACGAGTCATAGGCAGCCATATGATCCATATTCCTTATTTCTTGGGTAGCCAATTTTATTCATGTTACAAATATGTGCTTGCTAATGACTTATGTTGCAAATGGAAATCAAGACAAATCCCTGTGGAGGGAAACGTATACAAAAAATCTCTATTTTAACAATTTTGTGAAAGCGTTGTCCTTTTTCTTCTAGTTTTCGGACCAGGTAATAGTCACTTTCTAATCGGTAATGCTACAAGGGGAGTAATGTTATTATTAGATACCAGTCCTTCATGTGTATCGTTTTAAGAAATTCTTGAGTACCAAGAGAAAAAGGTAAACAAAGGGGAAGAGAGAAAGAAAGAGAGAGAGAGAGAGAGAGAAAGAAAGAGATGAATAGAGAGAGAGAGGGAGAAAAACAAAGAAGTAGAAGAAAAAAGGGAAAAAGGCGAAGAAGAGAGAAATAGGCGAGGAGGAGACATAGAGACATGTATACTGCCAAGAAGGCATGGGAAGAAAAATGTGTGATCAAATAATGAAAACTTACTTGAAGGAGGACAGATTCCGTTATAATATTTGATGTCATCGATTGCTATATCACTCTCGAATGAGGACCCAATGATACCTTCAAAGACAATCTGCATTGAGAGAATAATCAGTAAAATAGGAAGTAATGCGATATTCCATGAAATCTTTACTTACAAAGGCCGACACAGATTAAGTTTTTTGCAATATTACTTCAAATATATGATTGAATGCATACTTCCCCGCCAATAGTGAACAGCTCCTCATCGGCTACTGGTTGAATCAATGGCGAGTGGATGCAAACCAAGAATAAAATGACGATTTAGATTGTGATAATTAAATCTATATTAACATATGCTTTGCCGTGATATCCACGATTATTTCTAGAAAGTGGGAAAGCCCCTTTCATATAGTCTCGTCTTTTTCAAAATACTGAAATGTCTAAAATAATATGAGGTTTACGAGAAATCCATATCAATATCATTATTATAAACATTCTTAGCATATTCTTTCAGTTTATAAACATTGGTATTACGCTTTTTAGATTTGTTTGAGAATACGGTGAATAAGTTAAAATCTGCATCCAAAAATCCAATTAATCATCAAGGTAATAGGGAAACTGAAGAGAAGGCCATTTTGCATCAACAACTGTTTTACTAGGGTACCGTTTCAAGAATACCATTCAGATGATCTCGGTAGATCTTCGAGAGGTAATTCCGAACTAATTACAGCTACCTGAAGAAAGGGGCTCGATAGATACAAACCTTGAAGTTGCTTCCGCTCGAGTCAATATTAATCGACGAGAGGAGCCACCTATTTCCATAATCCCTCAACCCTTTGGTGAAGATAGTGGTCTCTGACCCGGATTCATCAAGGACATTTACGTTGAGGGCGCCCATGGTGGCCCCGTACATGTGGTAGTAAAACTCTAAACAGCGCCCTCCAGAGGTGGTCGCATTCTGGAGAGCTGAAACCAGTCTGGCCTTTTCACCTGGTAACCGTGGGCTAGAGCTCTCGATATAGACGTAGAACCCTGTAATGAGAGGTTGAAATAAAGGGGAAAATGGGTATTCGTAAAATGGAAAACAAAAACGATTTGAGTTTGGCTAGCTGTACAGCGAGTGAAGAACGGATGCATCATGCCTTTTGTCATGAAAGGCCTTTAGATATTCCTTTACATAATTAGTTACGGATAAAGGCAGACCAATGGCATACACTCAGTATACATATTAAATATAAGTCATATACTGAAATGACAATGATAATTTGACTTTATTATAAGAGAATCAGGACTTATCGTAAGGATATGCTAACATTGATGAGTAGCTCTATTTCTTTTAATGAATTTCATAATCAAACCAGCCTTGAGCATGAATACTCGCGCGTGATTTACATTTTGACGCAGCCTGAAAGCAATAGAAAAACGAAATGTTCCGAAAACCTAACATAACATGTTTTCCGTTAATTACCTCTTTTTCTGAGCTTGTCTTTGGCAGGTGTTTGGCCATTCATGATAATTTTGACTTAAACATCAAAAAATGTCAAAATCACACAACGGAAACGACAGCAAATATCGGGGGAAGGGGGAATGGTCAACAATTTTACACGAATCAGCGAAGGTTTCAATTCGAATAGAAAAAAGTCGGCCAATATATTATCACTAAAGTTATGCTAAGGTACACTGTGAAGGGCCGACCATATTAATCTTCAGTTTACACCATGACCTAGTATCAGACTACCTTCGTGAACTTGGACCTTACACAATTCAACATACCTGATCCAGATGTATGATCATTGGAAGGACCTGTATTGGTTGAGGTTGTAGCTCCTGTTATCCTGGCCCAGTTAAAATCATCGGCCACATCTTGGACATACGAACACAGATCTCCATCGAAATCGCAAGACGCCGAACCAGTGAGTGTATTCGGTTCAGCATAGGTCGGTTGGACTAAAATGAGAAAATGAGATGTGTTATAATGTTTTAGTTTGTTTTTGTTTTCTCCGCAGCCCCAACTCGTAACCCATTTCGTATTGCAATTTAAGTCGATGTTTAGGTCGGCAAGTCCGTCCCTTCGAACCCCCAAACAGCAGTGTATTCCACTCGTCTAATTGTAAACATGGTAAAAATAATAGGATCGAAATCAGTGATTCTGCCGGGTTCAGTTCAGCGCAATGTTTGTTTAACGTTTGTTTGAGATAGAAAGGCCAAATCGCAACATGATTTCTTTAATTTTATGGTCTCTCTGTGAAACTTATCACCGCCCCATTTCCCCTTAGATTATCCATCTGACATATTTGCAAGTCGGGTTTTCAACTGGCCAGTCTTTCACTACGTTCATCATATATTCCGCTCAACAATAAAAAAAAAATAACATTATGGGCCTCGTTGTTTAAAACTTAGCAATGATTGTAACTTTGCCATTAGTGGTTAATTGCATACGAACCTTGATTTGATTGGCTGTTGAATGATGTTGCCATGATAGATTATGGTAATGGCAAAGTTGCCACCAGTGGCAATTTGAATGCAACAAGCTAGACATTGTTTTTATGGATAGGAATTTCTATCCGTTTTCTGATCTCTTTTTCCTCTATCTCTCCTTTAAATCAAATCCCTCTTCTTTTCGTTTATTTTTCCTCGCTCTCACATTATTTATCTATTCAAATATCATTTACGCTGTTTACTCTTTTACATTTTATTTTAATGTTTTATGAAGCAACTGCTATATTTGTTCTAAGTTTTAATTTGATTGAAAATAAACCGAACTGAGAAATGCGTTATTGATGAACAAATGAAAAGGTCTACTATACTTACTATCGCATGCACCATCTGTAATGTCAATGTCGTCAATAGCAGTGTCAGCATAGGGTACCGTAGTTAAAATAGCAGCAATATATATCTGTAATGCAATAAAAACAAAGATATATTCATCTAGTTTGCATATACCTCAAATTCTCTCAACTGTTATATCATTCTGCATTGTCCAATACAAAGCACTCTAACTATAGCTTCAATAACAAATTGACTCATTATTGTAAAAGACGATTTTAAAATGGAATATCCATAGAGGATTGATGGTTGGAATTAATATCATATCCTAACCTGTGTGCTGTGAATAATTTTGACTGAACACCGTATATAAAAAAAAAATGATTTTTTTTTTTTTTAACTATTCAATTGGAGCATATCTACGTTTATAACCACGAAAATATTGATATCAAATTTCCAATTTTCTTTCAACTAATTCTGTTTGTGAAGAAGGCGTTTTTTTTTTAATCGTCATTTTTTGTTGTTTAATAGCGAATGCCTCCGATTGCTGAAATGGTCATTTTAAAAGAAATATTATGCCTAAGATATAACCCTTATTTTTGCAGCACGACAGTCTTACACTTTTTTTACACTCATATTTCATGAGACTGTATTGCATCATTGGCGTAATTAAAGTTGAAGAGACTAATGTAGTTCGTAACATTGTAGAGCAATTTCAACCTGCGAGAAAAGGGGGCAACGTGATCAACTTGGACGGATTACATTATATTCCCACCTCATCTACGGTGTCGAAGTCTACGGTGACCTGTCCGTTGAGCCAGGTCTGCTGGTCAATATTCTGCTGACCAGCAAGCATCCACAGGACCTCCCGGCTGAGACTCCCCGATCCCATTGATGTGTACACCACGAGCTCTCCGGTGTCCACGCCAAACATCATGTACCAGAAGCTGAGGCAGCGCTGCCCGGTGAGACTCGGGGCGCCAAGGAAGAGCACGGCTTGCTCCCCGGAGATCTGGGGCGAAGTCTCGACAAACATGTAATGTCCTGCGGTGGTGAGTATGCATTTATCATTAGTATTTACAGGTATATTCATGTTAACTGTCAAACTATAAACATTCGGGGTCCTAGACATACGTTATGCCTTTTGTTATTTTAATTTGTCTTTAATTATTAGCCAATATCGATCCAGGACTGATGTAATTACCTCACAGTTTGTATCCAGATAACTTCCCCATATACATATTATTCTGATACGACCTTATCTGCATAATTTGCCTTTAATAGGTAAAGAAAAAGTCAAACGTACAAACAAACAAACAAAACAATAAAAGTAAAACTGCGATTCTTCATTGTTCATTTCCCAAGAAACTAAACAAAATAAACAATCGAAAAATCAAATAAATTAAGAGAGAGAATGAAATAGTACCCGATGATGTTCCAAGGGTGTGGTCCACATTTGGTCCTGTACCAGTGCTAGGGGTGCTACTCTGGTACCGTAACCAATCAAAGTTATCCGCGTCGATGTTACTCCACATGCACATGCCATTTTCAAAGTCACAAGAACCTGTGAAAAACGGTACATAATGTTTGGGAAAATGACATAAAGAGATAAACATGCATATCAACGTCTTTAGAACTTTTCAATAAGTTTTGAACACGCCAATATGCAATACTGTTACGGGTAACCTGTGGTATTCCCAGAAATAATATCCACTTTTTCATTTGATATTAGCAAACAGACAAAATCTTCTTAAAGTTATATCTTACAAGTCTACTTTTATAGAGATTTTTTTATTTTTAAGTATGTAAATACCGTATTCATTGTATGAGGATTTTCGCTTTACGCACTAGCTTATTGCAAATCATAGCAGTGTTAATTTAAATTATTTAATTCTAAAGTGTCCTACGAGTAGAAAGGGCTTATATTCGCTGACAATCGCCTGTAGGCCATTTACAGTTCTGGGAAAGATGATAAATGCTTTGTAATTAACAAAACAAACAACAGTTTATGTCAATGCGGATTCGAAAACACCAACAAATTGTTGCCTGAAAAGAATGGCCCTTCAAATGCCCTCGTATTCAAATTATGACAAGTGATAGCTAAAGCCTGTGAATCACAACATTCATGCCACATGTTTGTGCATGTCCCATATAAACAATTATTTTTAGATTACTCGTAACTTTTGAGAGTTTATATATATATATATATATATATATATGAAAATGTCTAATCATATCGTTATATACATCAATACTAATATTGTGCTACGTGATGACACTTTTTCCAAAGACTTCCACACATTTTCGTTTACAATTTTATTGCAAGACCAAAATGTAACTTTATCTTGAGTGTTTTGAATCGATATTTTGTCAGCATCTCACCTATAGATCCGCACGGTCCCAGCGTATAGTCGACGTCGTCGATGGCCAAGTCACTCCTAGGTCCAGCACCGGCCACGCCCTCGAAGACCAAACGGAAGACAGCTGAACTTGAGACATTGACCACCGCAAAGAACCATGTATCACCCAGGTCAGCGGCGGACTGTGTCCATAGGGGCACCGTGTCACCTTCAAGCTAATGAGGAATGAATTCGCTGATTAGTTTAATACCAGTTATAGTATTTGGGGAATCTTCGATCGATATTATGATATTATAAAACACAATCTATACACTTGATTTTTCAATCTCATTGACTGTTATTTATCATTCAAGCTTTTGTGTGTTGATTTCTTCCTGTGTGTGCTTATCTGTTCAATGCCTTCATCGGCAATGTTTCATGTTCTTCTTGGTTTTCATGAACATGGAGAACCAATTAATATACACATGCTCTGACTGTTTTAATGATTAATTCTATCATTCTTTTCAAGCAACCATGGTATCTAATTTTCGTTTTAATTCGTTATATTTTTGTCCGGTTATGCACACGTAATGTAAACAAACGTGCAAGTTGGTGTGGTGAGTATGCGTATCTTTATTCGGCACATAATATAATCACTATTGAATTTTTTATGAAAATAGTACTAAAAAAAGTAGCCCGGGAGCTGAATTACATTCAGTTTACAATAAAAGCACATGAAAAACATATTAATTTTAAAACATTTATTTCATCAAGCTTACGAGAATACATTCAAAGATAACATTAAAATGATATAATATTATTCAAAAAGTTGCTTTCCATTGAACACATATTTCAACAAAAACAACAGCATCGAAGTCATTCAGAAGTTGGCCCTACCATGACGTTGAGGGCGCCCATCTGATCACCGAACATATGATAGTAAAATGTCCAGCAGGTGTCATCTTGGCCGGCATCAGAAGGGTCAAAGTATGGTGTCAGAATGGTCGCTTTCTCCCCTGGCTGCTGACCAGCTGCGTCGATGTACATGTAGTGACCTGGCGATGGTTAATCAAAAAACAATACCTTTAAGATAAAGTTAAGTTCTGATCATGCGATTGCATTGTAAAAGAAACGTTGTGGAATCGATCAGAAAAGGTTGAACATCTAGCATATAAGTACTGATGTGTACTGCAAGATTCTGGAATCATCAAAATGATGATAAATTTGGCAAAGCTTTAGTAAAGTTACAATCACTGCACACAGAAACATGTATATCTTGGACACGGTTAGCATTTTTTTGTATAGAATAAATATATTTCATATGAATACGTATATGAGTGTAAAAAAGCTTTATATGTTAACATTTGTTAAAGCTTCTCATTAACTCGTCTATCTATAAAAAAAAAAAGGACTGATACATTTCGCCTAGTTTTGCAGAAGTTTCCTTTTTATATAAAAAAAAAGAACATCAATATGGTGCAATATAAATCATTCTTTACTACAGAAAATTAGATTTACTTGATCGTGGAGACAAGATTAAATGGATTTTTATTATAAATTTGGCGTCACATGTGCCTGGGAGGCGAACAGCGAACAAAATCAGTGTAACCCTCGTGTCTCTCCTCCCGGTATAAGCGGTTGGACCACTACACCGGAGTCTCCCTCTACTCTTATACGAATAGTCCTGGGGTTCTTAACTTGCAAAGGTGGTGACTCTCCTCTAAACAGGACCTTCCTTAAACGTCATATCCGAGGGACGAATAGTGTTACTCACCGGATGCTGTTCTGGTGGTAGCATCTACCGAGGGACCGGTATAAAGAGTGGGCGTGGCCCCTGCGTTCCATGACCAATCAAAATCGTCGAGATTGCCCTGTGAATAACCGCAGATGGAGGCATCCTCGAACGTACACGTGTGGTATCCTGAAAAAAATGACAACGCATATGAAATTTAGATCTAACTTTACCATGGCATAGGAAAAACCTGTATAATTAATGTATATATATTATTTTTTATTTTTGGTATATCTTATAGAATACTGCCAAATGGACGCTTAGAAAGTCGTCTAGTTTAGTGAAGTGTAGTGCATGGGACATAGAAACTAATAGTAATAATAATGAAGAAAATAATTGACAGGCCTATGTTGTAATTTACAGCAAATTTTGTAGTGTTTACCCTTAACATAATATTGTTTGTGTTTTTTTTTTATATGTTTGTAAATATGTATAACATTTCAATATAGTAAAACAAACCCTCATGGAAGAGGCAAAACGAAAAAAATAATAATAATGATAATTAAAAGAAGAAAAAAAAGTAGTACATAATAATAATAATAATACTTAATGATGATAATAATACAAATAGTGAGAATAATAATTCTAATAGTGATGATAATGATAATATTAATTGGAACAACAATATTGATAATATTAGATATATACCTCTGCATGCCCCTGTTGTGATGAAGATGTCATCGAGAGCGATGTCACTGTCGAAATTTGAACCAGTAACGCCCTCAAATACGAACTAAAAGCAAAACAAAAAGAAGTAATTAAAAGTTACTAGTATACTTATAATCATAATTAATAATAAACCATTTGGTTTCGATTACTCAAGGTAGCCACACAAGTATTTATACAGCTACTTCTGCCGCCCCTGTAAATGTTACCGCCCCGGCATTTGCCAGGTAACCATTTACACAATACCAAAGGAAACCAGACATGTATTTTTGATACAAGGAGAAAAGTATGAGAATACCCAACATGTTTCTTTTCAACTCTATTTTGTATTACGAAAACAGAACACCGACGGTTCTAATATAAGGAACATAACAACCCTTTGGTATGATGTGGTATGGTATTTATTGAATCATGCATCGTAGCTTACAAATACTGAATTGCACATGGATATACATTGCATTTTAAATACGAGTGTACAATTCAAAACAGTATCATTTACATAATTATAAGTACACGTATATGTCGCATGTTTGAATGTCTAACCTTAAAATCGGCAGTAGGGATAAAATCAATCTGGGCCTCAAACCAGCTCCTTGAAAGAGCCCCACTTTGGGTCCACAGGACCTGGCCCGGCGTGGTCCCGGTTTGGGCATAGACATTGAGTGTACCCATGTCAGCACCCCACATGTGGTACCAAAAATCGGCGCACATTCGCCCGGACGTCGCAAGAATGACTTCCGACTCCAGTACGGCAACTTTGTTAAAAAAGCTCGATGCTTCTGTGTAGATGTAGAATCCAGCCGCTATTATCGAAAGAACAAAGAAAAAGTAATACCGGTGGAATAAAAACGATGCCAAAGGAAATCAATTTTAAGAACTGTTATAAAAACAGGGTTTTATAGATGCAAATGGACGATTATTTTATACTAATTTTTTTCATCTAAGATGTATGTAGGAAAAAAAGATGACAATACTTTGTTAACCCACGTAAGCCTCATCAACATCGATGGTGTGTTTCATCTCGAGGGCCCTACAATAATTATTACCCCAGTAATTTTTGGCGGGTACCAATTAAACTTGGAATTTGAAGAAGAAACAAAATGTAAATATGATTTAGAATCGATAAATGGGCTCTTAATTGATGATCTCAATATCATTGTTTTTCAATAAAAAATTATTTGTTTAAAACTTTCAAATTGTTTAACTCCAACCCATTTTTATTCCTCCAGAAAGTGTTATATTGTATTGGAAGAATGTAGCAATAGAACAAAAACAAAACATTATAACGTTTGTTTGCGGGGGGTCAAAAAAACAAATTCGTTGCCGATTTAACCCATTGTATACTGGAAGCGGTGGTTTCTGTATGAGAACTACTGGGAATATAACATGTCAGTTGTCAAATGGTTAAACAAAATACACGTACCTGTGCCAATGGTATGGTCATTTTCCGGGCCGGTATACGTAGAGGGCGTGTTACCTGCCAGCCTCGTCCAATCAATATCGTCGGTAGTAGCTTGGGTAAAGGTGCACAGGTCCAAGTCAAAGTCACAACCGCAGATTGGGCCTGGTGAATTGAAGTATGATATTCAATCAGTGAAGTTGGTGAATCAATATTAGCTCCTCACTTTCAACATCGTTATGATGAAAGAAAAGTTCCGACAAATACGTTTTCGAAATTTCCTGGTAATTCAACCTTGAGACGAATTGATAACTATAGTTCGAATAAGGAAGAAAGTGATTAGATCATGAGATGCTGTAATATCAATCATTCAGTTGACCCTTTTCCCTTCCTATTGATTGTGTTAAACGAAACGCTTGGCAAGTAATATTGGCAGATGCAAGAGCTAAATTTTGGAGCAGGAGGTACTTCTCGATATACGAAATTTAAAAGTAAAATAATTATACTAGAAATATTTTGAAGTGCATTTAGAGTGAAGATCCTTGTGGAAGTTTTGAGCTTTTGTTGGAGAAATCTAAATGTGTAGAGTATGGAACCCAAGTTTACTAAGAAGACATAAAACCTCGCACATATCAATATTTAATTGTACTGACAATACTATAATGTCGCTGTAATGTTTGCAGTTTTCAATAATTATGGTTAGGTAATTGCATTAGGAGGATTTTATGGAGGTCTTTACAATTGTGGATTGCATAGGTGACAAGGCAGATGTATGAAATGGAAACCTACTTGGGGCTACTGTTGTAGGAACTGGTTGGGTCCCTGTGCCTGTGTATGGCTGCGCTGTTGTAGTGGGGCGAACATCAGCCGCTGGTGGTTGAACTGTATAGATACCAAACATAAATTGATGAATGCATATCAAATCATCTGGAAATTCACCTGCCATAATGTTGCGCTAATAATTATGATAGTTGTCACGAAAAGCTTACCCTACCAGAAATGTGTAATTGAGAACTGGTTGATCTAAAAACAAAATCAATATACCTCCTTGATATTCAGTTCTAATATGAAAGTTTGTTTTGTTAATTTTTTTACAAAATGTTTAAAACTTTCCTTCAGCGAACCGCAAGGTTTTTCTTTTTACAAGTCCGCATTAAAGAAAGAACAACATTACAACGAAAAACATTTACAAATAGTTAAAAATATACATTAAAACACAATAATAAACAATTATTTATTTGATTTAAAAGGTAAGACAGAGAGAGAGAAAGAGAAAGAGAACACCGCCCAGGAAAACAAAAGAAAATATTTGGTCGCGTTAGAAAGGTCAAAACGGGAAAAAGACTTAAACGAATAGCTCTGAAAAAATGTGTACCACCGATTTAGATATGACCAGATGACCTTTAATAATTGTTTTCAGTTTTTTTTTATAGAAATTAAGAATATCAACAATATTTATCCTATTGAATTTGAATTTCAATCTATATAATTGCCTAATCAATGTAGCAAGTAGTTTGATAATGGTTGCAAATGTCAAACTCATTTTCCAGTCTCAGCCCTCACCCCACCTTACTCAAGAATATGGGGGGGGGGGGGGTGAGGGGCGGATTGGGGTTAGCCGATCATTCTACATTAGTTATGATAGGGGATAAGGATTGGGGCGGGTCCAGGGAAGAGGGATGCCAGGTATTACCTCCGCATGTAGAATCAACAAAAGAGATGTCGTCCAGAGCAATGTCGCCTTCGAACCCCAGTCCGACCACACCCTCAAACACAACCTGAGAGAGAGAGAGAGAGAGAGAGAGAGAGAAAGAGAGAGGTGGAGAGAGTGAGAGTGACATAGAGATATATATAGATATGAAGAGAGAGGGAAAATAGAGAGAGAGAGAGAGAGAGAGAGCAGGAGAGAAAGGAAGAGGCATGTAAAAGGGATTGGAAATTCAGTGATATTCGAAACAAATTATGTTAATTACAGAGAGATACTGAAGTAATATAAATGCTCATGTTTATGTCAGGAGCAGAGCTGCAGGTTGTCATCAAGTGTCTAAAACTAATAATGCATCATTTGTCACTGGAACATGATAGTTTTCGTACAATCCTAATTATTATAAAAAAACAGTCCTTACCACATAGCTGTCTGGACTCTCTACAGGCATCTGTCCACTGTTCCATCGGTCGCCTAGGTCCACTCCGTAAGACCACCCATCGGACCTTACGGCGCCCTCTATAGTTTCCACGTATACATTGAGGGATCCGATCTGGGTACCAAACATGTGGTACCAGAATCGAAGGCAACGCCCGCCAGAGGGCGTCCCACCAAATGCCTGGCTGCGGAAGCGCACTGTGTCCCCGGGAACGACTGGTGAAGAAGTCTCCATAAAGACATACGACCCTGCAAATGAATCACCAGGGGGGGGGGGGGGCGTTTTACCAAAAATTGTCATCAGTGACACATGACAGTTTGTGTTATAAGCTACTGAAATCCTTGCTTCTGATTGGTTATCAGCAGATTTGTCACTGATTGGTGTAATTTTTCTTCGAAAAAGGCTTTGTGCAACGGGTCCCAGACGTCGTCAAGTTGAAAAACAAGCCACAGTAAACAAACAAAACATCAACATTAATACAATATGAGTGTTGGGAAATCTTTCCACCAATCTATTTCAACGCATATGACTATACAACTCATTCGCATTCTCTCATTCTTACCATTGGATTCAATTTCATATAACGCATGCTGCAGTGAAATGCATTTTCTCTAGCTCTTGATAGCATGCATTGTAGCATCCTGTTTTTAGTCATTCATATAGTCATCGGTCGCAGATGTTCATCGTTACTGACTAATTTAAAATGGTAATGGTTCATTCTTAAAATTACTCACTTATAACATGAAAAGTGAGGTTCAAATTGGCAAACAAAATATTGATAACTTGTCCACTAATATTCTTGGAGACTTATTCCGAATTCGGATGATAAGCGATAAAGTACAAAACTGGACCCCAACATTTAGCAAAGAGTTGGTTCATAGTTCCCCTTTTTTGACGCAATCTGTATTGTTTATTTTGTTTGTTATTTGTATGTTTTGTTATCCACTTCAACATTGATACTGCTCTTCATGCGGGCCCTGACATTATTATCACACCAGCAATTGGCAGGTACCCTTTTACACCTAAGTGGCAATTGTTAGTTAACATCATATACGATAGGGCTTTAGTTCCAGATGGGTACTCGAACCCCTAACCCTTGGATAGAGAGACACCCCATCTCCAATGGTGCATTTTCTGTTATTTCTTCAAAATATGAGCGGGACCTGGACTAACCTTGAACAGTCCCAAGGGTGTGGTCTATACTTGGACCTGTGTTGACACTAGGCGTACCACCCTGTCCTATAATCCAATCGAACGCGTCCGACGTAGGGTCGTTGGTCCAGGTGCAGAAACCATTCTCAAAATCACAATCACCTGTAAAGACCAAAGTGGATTTGGGGGAAATAATAAAGTAATGAGTTGAGGATTGTTTTTTCGAAGCTGACTCTAATTTTAAAGGAGGTACCCTTTAGAAAAATACTTACTTATGTTTATTTGACGATTATTCAGCCCCACTGCACTACTTATAGCTACTTGCGTCCTCTATATAGCACACAATGCCTAATCGGTGCCTGTCGGTATCCCATGACCCCCTTTCTTATGTTAATTGAGAGCTGATTTGATGAGATAACCATCTGTCAGGGACCTTGCACGAAGGTCTAACCGCCCCTCTGGCAAGACTAGTACAGACGGGCTTTGAAAAAATACACACTGGCAAAAAAAATGTTGACAATACGATTCCCTTTTTACTCCTTACCACTTTCAAATAGTTGTACAAACATTTAGTGTATTAATCACAACTTTTACAAATTAAACTAAACGAATGGATTTTAATAGTTATTAGTATATAATATAAAAACTATGTTGTCTGCAAGATCATTTCGGCATTCTCACGTAGATATACACAGTAAGAATATATACCTCCTATAAACCGTTGTTTTCATATCATAACTGATTTTGGCTTTAATACGTATAGATGAAATAAGACCTGGGAGAATAACTATAGAATTATAATAAACAAACAACACTGGTAAGCAATGATATGGTTTAATTCATTCAACGATGATCGAGGTATGATCAAAATCGATTCTTATATTATTTATATATGTATTCATTATCATCATTTCTATTATCATTACATATACGTATTTGGTATTCATTTTCGTCTATATTTTTGTTCTTCCAATTCTTATATTTTTCATATTTTCCCCATTTTGTTGGGGGGGGGGAGAGGGGTTCGGGAATGGCCTGGGTTCCGCCCAGAGTACCGCTACTGACAGAGATTTGTTATAGTGTACCTGGTGGTGGGCATGATCCTGCATACATATCGATGTCATCTATAGCGATGTTTCCCAGAACACCAGCCCCTACGGTTGCTTCAAAGTACACCTGGAAATCATCATTGATACTGAATGGGATGCGAGCCGCATTCCATTGGTTGCCTAGGTTACCGGATAGTGTGAAGTAAGGCTGGGAGAATAGTCCTCCAACCTAGACATGTCGATAGATCGAAACCAAGAAATATATTTAAATATGCATTGAATAAAATGTACATCGTTATCACATCAACTCCATTTCATTACGAATTATATTTAATTATCGTTGATAACATTTGCAACATAAAAGCTTAAGCTTATTTTTCTGTTTCAATGAAATTTAAGGAGCGTCGATTTCGTAGGAAGTAATGGACATACCAGTCGTGTGGTGTGCGATCTACCAGAGTAACTTATTTCTTTAAATAAATACCCTGTATTATAAATATACTGTCTTTTTAATTCACTGGTATTTGCCTTATATAATAAATGTTTATGCAGCGAATGGATATTGATGAACCTTAAAAAAAACATACTAACTAACAAACAAACAAACAAACTAACTAACTAAATAACTAACTTACTAACTAACTAACTATCTAACTTACTTACTAAATAACTAACTTACTGCAAAACAAGTATTTACCTCGACAAGAACATTTAGCGATCCGATGTTATCTCCGTACATGTGGTAGTAAAACTCGAAGCAGTGGCTACCTGCAGCCGGGAAGGTATGTGAATATAGCCATGCCCTCTCCCCCTGAACTCTGGGGGCTTCTGTCTCGATGTACATGTATTTACCTGGAACGGTTGATAACGTAGAAAGGCTAAACAAAAAACTACATTGTCCTAAATTCTAGAAATAACATTTTAACTTGAAAAATGGTGGATCATTAAAAATTTATCGACTGATATATATATATATATATATATATATATAGGCCGATACATATATGTACATTCAAATCTGCTTTAGTGACCACCTGTATGAAGAGACCACTTGTCTTAAAGGCCATATTTTGTGTTTCCCTTGAAAATGGTTTCTCTAATTGAAACATGTACTAAAGGAACATATAAAGACCAATTTTCTTGTCTGCTTGATTGGTATTTATATACACGTTTCACTCTCTATATAATATATGTGAGTGTGTGGGTCTGTTTGTGTGAGTGTTTGTTGGTTTGAAAATGTTTTGAATTCATGTCAAGGAAAACAAATGTATTGTATTTCTAAGATTGATATGTATTATTTGGAATCAATAACTAAACTATTGAAAACAAAAAGTAAGTATGTGCGAGTAGTATTCCATCAATACGTACTCAATTTCATTATCATGATTTCATATTTAAAGGGACAAAAATACGCCTCCAACATTTTGGGGAAGGTAGAAATTAATGTGTTCCCTACATGTTTGAAGCGCCTTGAGCATTTAATTAAAATGGATAATGGCGCAATATTAATATCATGTATTATTGGATCAAGATTAATAACGAACATATCAATGCACTGACTGACCATTGATTGCATTGGTCGTGTGGTCAGCCGACGGGCCAGTCAGGGCAGTATCAGTAGGTCCTGATCCGAGACTCCAATCAAAATCATCTTGCAGACTTTCCTGATTGTATCCACATACTGCATATCCGTACTCAAAATCACAAATCGGACTGAAAGCTCCTGGACTCGGCGTAACTGCAAAATTAGATAAATGACAAACACATGACTAAGATAGTTGGAGTCTGATTGATTATAGAAAACCTAGTTAGGAATAAGGTAATATAATAAGGTTATATAACGTCATAACTTGTTTAACGACTACACTAATTTTTGAAACATAAGTATTGGCACGCATTTTGTCGATAAGAAAAACCATGTAAAGCAGTAGAAACGGTGTAAATTACCCAATTTACCGATGCACGTAAAATGGACCACAGGTTGCTTTCTCTAACTGACATGGAAATAATTTTGTTCTCAGAAGCTATTCATCCCAGTTATTATCCTGACTTTGGTACAGAGGAATCTACGGCGAATTGAAGGTATTTTGTGAAGAATGTTATCGACGACATGTAGGATTGTTGTTGTTGGTATTATTATTTCATCACGTTATTGAAAGAATAAATTACACAAAATAGGCAAAGAAACACCTCAATTAATTCATATTGAAAATTCTCTCCAAATCGGTGACGTATGGAAAAAGAAATGTCGAAACGGATTGGGGTTCGCCATTTATTAACTTGAAATTAATCATGTCTTATGGTTATATGAGTAAAACGAGTAAAGAAGACATTTTCTTTGTAACTTTTTCCATATTTCCGAGCAATTAACAATATATGGAAATGTACATAATGATGGATACATGCGTTTGACAAAGGAAGATACAATGGAAAACAAGAATCTAGTATTTAGACAAGTTGGACGTTCCTTCATTTATCAACAAATCAAATAAACTGTGTTAAACCTTGTGTATATAAATCATGTTGCGCAAAGATGTTTTGTTGAACTTCATATTAATATTTTAATTTATTTTGAAAACATTGAAATGATAAAGATCCTTTCAAAAATTTAGTCGAACATAAATAATAGTTTTCATATATAATAATGAAATTAAACAAACGAATAACCTTAGTGTAACTTACTAGCCAAACAATCTTCATTTTCCAGAAGAATGTCATCAACAGCCATGTCACATCTTGGATCACCGCCCATTATCCCTTCAAATATAACCTTAAAGTGAAATACATGTATAACAGGATATATTATCAGAGTTAAAAATACATACCAACGGCTGATTATGGCAATATAAAGATATCCTAGATACGGACGAATGCAAAGGAGGCGATTTTTTGTTTTACTTTTTTCAATGGCAAAGATGCAAACACATATTCATTTATGTCTGCGGATTCTATAGTATTTTTTTAAAGGACGCTGTAATTTGTTGACGTGTATCAGGGTATTAAAGTTGAAGTTGAAAACGTAACAATAGAAATTGCTCTTAGTAAATTATGTCTGTACAGTGCATAGAGACATCATAGATGTATTAAGCGCTAAATAAAAGCGGAATTATTATTATTCAATATGAAAGCAACAATACGGACATAAATGGCATTTCGAGATCGGAAATATGAATACGTGAGATGGTACTTACATTGAAAGGTGTCGTTCCGGTGACTGGTACCCGAGCAACCAACCATTGGTCTCCCTGTGTTCCTGCCCTGGTCCAGGCCAGTGTTTCAGCTGACCCGGAAGCAGTCAGGACGTTGATGATACCGATCTGCTCACCATGCATATGGTACCAGAAGGTCAGGCAGGAATCCGAAGTGACGGGACTGTAGAGGGCGCTCCTCAAGCGTGCAGACTGTCCTATGCTGGTCGAATCGGCTTCGGTGTACATATATGAGCCTGATATAGCTATAAAAGAAAATTGCATTGCGTAAAATGAGTCTGCTTTGTTTATGAAATTTATCATCGTCTTCCTTGAGATTATGATGTAAATGAGAGAGAGAGCGCACTAAACAATTTATATTCATAACCCCATCTGTTTTGTGGCGTACAAAGAAATAAAACGGCTGTTGCACGCACCTTTTGTTATAATCAAGTATGAAGATGTCGGTAATACTAATAGCATATATTTTTTCCTCGATAACACAAACTGTCTTGTTTATGTAGTTCATTGAAATGTGTTACCTTCTGTGAGAATGCATTTTGTAATCGAAAATTTCACTTTTTAAACATGTTGTCAATCAACTGTGTATGTGACACTAGCATGCATGACACTGTAACAAAATTGTTTCTGTATTTAAAGGTGTAGATCAAATCTGGTCACGCGATGGCATTTTAAAAGAAACGTTGTGGAACCGATCACAAAAGGTTGATGATCTAGCATATCAGTATTTGTGTGTAATCATCAAAATGATAAAAGAATTTGGCCCAGTCTTGGTAAATTCAAAGGAACTGTACACATACAGATGCATATGGGACTACGCGATATCAATCCAGGCCGGATAGATATGATAATTTACCAAACATATCAATAAGTAGGCAGTTTACCGGCAAATTTGTATCATCACGTATTAGTCAAACCATTTCCTTTCACATGATTGGTAATAAGGGCTTCCATTTCATTTTTTGAGAAAGGGCGTATCCAAAACTAGCTTATACATTTAACCTATGGTGGAATATGATAAATCAGTAGTCAATGGATTAAGACCAACATCTATTCTTACTGAAACTTCCTGCGTGCGTGTGATCATCGTCTGGTCCGGTATTAGCCGTGTCCGTAGGTCCAGACTTCCTGGTCCAATCAAAGTCATCCCCCAAATCTTGACCAAAGCTACACAGACCCCCTTCAAAGTCACAGTTAGCCGGCCCAGCAGGAATGACTATGTGTGGGGCTGTAGTGGGCAGTTGACTGGAAGGCGGGAACGTCGGCTGTGCAATTGCACTGTTTGGTATAGCTTAAGAGAATTGAATAGAGATACAAATGATATAAAATAATTCAGTAATTTGAAGTTAGTTTAATAATTGCAATATTTTACTCTCTTCTAATATTCTTCTCTTGGAATAAGATTGGTAAAACGTCGTATAAAGAAATTATAAAACTACTGCAAGCGAAAGATATGTCTTTTGGGCTGATTAAAGAAAGGCATACTATCGTATTAAAATACAATGACATAATTAGTTAATGCGTAAAATATTTATATTATGTAAACCCAATAAATAATTGCTTGAAAATAAAGAACATACATATATGAAGCAACATTTTATTCGATTCTAATACACCAATCGTATCATTCTAATTTTGTAAAACAAGAGCCATGTTATTACTTCTGTCCTCTCAACTTCTCTTTCTTATTACAATAAGAATTATAGAGGTTATATTCAATGGTAAAATATCTAGCTTTTGACAAGGCCACACATTTTTTGCGAATGAATAAGAAAAATAGAAATACAATGAACACTAATTTTTAACACGTACCAGTCTATCAACATTCCGCCTTTTAACATAAACACGTACGTTTAATATTTAGTATATAATCTAATTTTGGATAAGAACGAAAAGTCAGGGAAATACCTGGGCAATTATTGTCTGTAACAGTAATATCATCAACTGCAATATTTCCTGTGGTGGAAGCACCTACTTCGCCGATGAAGACAACCTAGGCATTGGAGAAACGCATCGAAGACAATTTAAAGGTAATACAAAGTTTTGGTATGGGGTCATGAATTTGGTTCAAATTAATATATTGGAAGCATATGCGATCCTACAATATTCATTTATCGTTGTCGCGGTTGAAATCGAGTCTAAAGTTATGAAATTGTAAATAATAAACTCTTTATGTTGTTTTGCTCCCTCTTAAGGTCAATATATTAATTAAGCTATAAAATAATGTTTCTGGACTAAAATCAACCAATAAGCTATTCCCGTTTGGAAAGTATATATTCTGAAATTTTCATGGTCGCAGCTACCATTGTACGGCCGTAGGCGCTATTTAAAATTTATCAAAATTTACCGGGAGCACCGGTAAATTGTTATATTCAAATTTTTCCAAAAGCAGTGGTGTTTTAGGGGCTAAATTTTCTAGTGCTTATAAAACATCCACAGGAGCATCCAAATATATTAACATTGTAAAGAATCACTATCCAACCAATGTTCAAAATTTCCCAAAACTTTGTATTACTTTTAAGGATACGCATCAGTCAGAGACGATTCAGATGTTTCAATGTTTTACTGTTACAGCATTTTATCACTATTTCACAATTAGATCAGTTATTTTCAACAGTGGGGCAATACCAAGCAGTCATGTTAAATTCCGTATATATTTTACTACCCATCAATTTTAAATTATGCTTGTACAAATTATATTTAATTCCATTTTACCTGATCTAATGTTGTTATTTTTTACTTGCATTGTATTTTAACTGCACTGTGAAAGCATGTACAATTCAGTCTATGACTGCCAATCAAGTCTTTAATAAACCTTGATTGAATCGAATTGAATTGAATCCCTTTTTCACAATTATAGCAGTTTATCACTATTTTACGAGCACTGCCGACTGTGGATATAAACCAACAAAATTCCACAAGCTGCCATATTGTGTTAAGGGTAGAATTATAATTTCGTGTTTTTTCATGAAAGTGTATTTTCACGAGAGCGACAAATTAAATCAATATCATAAAAGTTCAAATCGAATAATGATATAAATCACCAAATTATTATGGGTATAAAGGGACAAATTATTTCCGGGAGATACAAAGTTCTTAGTTCTTAGTTCATACTAGGTCGTAAGCAAAGCTCTATAGAATTTATAATATTTCTGCCATGTTTTTCACCTGCGTCTAAAGTGGGAAATGTATGTAAACGACTTTCCAAAAGATATTGGTGCGAGGAAAGGGAGAGTGCTACCATGTGTTCCTTGGCCCGTAAATTATCCGAAATAACTCCTGCCTAAAGACAATTATCATTGTATGACTAAGATTAATCGTTCGGTATTTTCTTTTAACCATCCCGTTGTAGAATCAATTATGAAATACCCTGTAATCGTAGTCTTGTGATACAGGCACTTGTCCGTAAGTCCACAAAGCACCCTGAGTTGAGTCTAGCCTCCAGATGATGACGTCATCTGGAAACCCGTAGTTCTCTTGAGCAACGGAGAGGGCGCCTGCATCAACTCCTTCCAGATAATACCAGAAAGTAACGCACCTTCTCGTCGCTGATTGGTTGTTGAACAGCGAACTGACCATACGGGCGTTTTTACCAGGCACCTGATTGGTTGGATCAAGGTACACGTAATACCCTTATCCAGAAAAGAAACGAACAGAAGAATGAGTAGACTTACTTTCCTATTGTATAACTAGAATATGAAAAACATATTATGAAAAAAGAACATCGCTAGCAAGGGAAATATGCAAATATAACATCTGATGATAACAGAGAAAACAGACAAATTCGATCACTTTTGGTCTTTTACTACATCGGTGACGACGTTCGAAAATACATTAAAAAAAATACATTTTTCAGTATTAATAAAACTATGATGGAACCGATTAGCATACACAGATTACTTTGAAAGCATTTTTGTAAACAATGAAGACTTGAACACAAATGTTTTATTGTATTTCAAGTATTGATTGCCATACCTTCTTCCGGAGCGATTATTATCTTGTACGTACAATTACAATAAAAATACCTGCTAATCTCACAAATGATTTCTTGATGTTAATTAGTTTTCTTTATTCTCATTTACATACCGCTAACACTGTAGGCACTAATAAAGCATGATTTACTAATCATTCTTTTTATATAAAGATCAGCACCTTGGCAACGCGATATCTTCACATACCTGCTGATGAGCCAATGGTATGATCCGTTGGAGGTCCATCACCATTGGTGGCGCCCTGCTTCCTTATCCAATCGAAGTCATCGGCTGTGACGTCATTAGTCCAAGTACAATAATCGGCTTCAAAATCACAATCGCCTGTAAGTACACAAACAAGGGGTAACCTTGATATAATTTGGATTTGTCGGCTATTGTAGGAGGTTTATCATGTGGATCTCTTCCTCTTTGGCCCCTATCGTCTTTTCTGGGTCTAACTCATTGACACATTTCGTGTTAGTGTTAGTGATGGTTTTCTAAACACCATACATACTTTTAGTCACAATGTCTGTTATGTTTATGTTTTATCTATGTCTGTCTATGTTTTGAAGTAACGAATATCATGTTACTCGTTGAGACTTCAGTGGTTAGTGAAATTAAATAATAATGTCTCTTACAAGAAAACATTCATTTCTGTGGGTAGCAAACGTAGGGCCCATTACGAGGAAGATTATGATCACCAAGATAAGGCCAAAACAAAATTGTTTGGTTGTCCTCGATTGCTTTTCTGGAGTAGGGGCGGGCGGGCGGATTTTTTTAAATTTTTTTTTTTTTAACTTCATTTCCCCCCCCCCCCATTTTTTTAATTTTTTTTTAATATTTTTTTTTCCATAAAAAAAATAATCATTGGGATTGTCAAGCATTTAAACAAACACAATCTATAAAATACTTTAATATGGTAAAAGACTAGTTTAATGTACCATAAATATCAAGACCAACACAGAAAGTATCTTGGGCTTTGAAATACAGCCCCTTTTAAATCTCCATTGTACTACTTGTAGCTACTTGCGCCCTCTATGTAGCAAACAATGCCTAATCGGTGACCATTGGTCCCCCATGATCCTCTTTATCTTATATTAACTGAGAGCTGATTTGATGAGATAACCACCTGTCCAGTGACCTTGAAGGGTGGTCCAATCCCTCCTGTAAACTAGTACAGATGGGCTTTAAAATGAGTTTAAGTATGCTCAGAACCTGATTTGAATGAACGGCATTTTGACATAGAAAAATAAAAATGGCAAGTTTAATATATACCTAATTGCGTACTGAAAAGTCAAAACTGGCAACGGGACGCATTTTGATCCTTGCAAATGCATAAAATGGTGTGTTTGGCATTTAAGATTGCTCCCCCAAAACAATTAAATTAAAAAAAAAATAATAATAAAAATAAAAAAAAAAAATATGCGAGCGGCCCGAAAATGACGAGCGGGCGGTCGAGGACAACCAAATAATTTTTTGTTTGGCCTAAGGCGAAAATGCTTACCTTGAGCGAGACAAGAACCATCTGTAATTCTGACGTCATCAATTGCGATATCGGAAGTAAAACTCGTTCCAATAACACCTTCAAATACAATCTACAAATAAGAAGAATGATTATATGCTGCTTGTCAGTGTCGGCTTGCATGGTGATGTAGATATACAGTAGGTTTGCGGGTGCACCATGTGTGTGAGAGAAAGAGAGAGAGAGAGGGTTGAGGAGTCCTGAAAAGGACCCTGACTCAGTAATCTTTCTTGGGGGTGTGATAGTCCTGAAAAGGACTGTTTGTTATCTTTCTTAGCATATACTTCTAAGGAGAACTATAGCGCTTGGACAGGATGAGTGGCTCGACGTTTCAAACAGGTTGACTATCCGTCGTCATGAGTCAACCCTTTCTCTCTCTCTCTCTCATGGTGCACCCGTAAACCTACTGTATAAGAAGATCGAGAATGGTATTTTGCACTATATTAATATGCTATATGAAACAAAAGGCACAAAGGGAGGAATGTCTTTGAATAGTGACCGGAGAAAAACCAAATAAAATGTATAATTAATTATCCCTAATGGCAAATATTCGGTCACTTTCAGTTTTTTTCACCCGGGAAGCCAGATATTTTCCAATACTGCTCTTTTTCAGTGCCAGGTACCCATTTAATACATCTGGGTCGATAGGGACAACATTTATGGGCAAAGAAAATGGTCCACAGCACCGAGCGAGGATCGAACACTGGACCTTTTATACGGGAGACAAGAACCTTAACCAGGATGCCTCCTTGTAATAATCCACCAAATAAAATATTATTGATTGTTACAGATTTAAGCAAAAGAAAGCCTCTTTCAACCGGTGGTGAAAGTTATTGAAACTGAAATCAGCCAAATTCTAGGATCAGTCTCATAAAGAGTTTTATCCAAACCAACCGGAAGTCCTCCAATCAATCGTGCACTGTTTACAGTGTCCTATCTCTTATTTACATACACACTAATACATGAGGGTGCAATTATTCTACAATAGCAGCACCCCTCGGCAAATACGTGTAGGCGGATGCAAATCTGCACCCGAAAGTCCCAATTGCACCCATATATTTTAGTGTGCAGCTGCGATTAATATCAATCGCATGTAAGTTGCGACTAATACCAACTCATTATATGACAGTTCCCTGAAGTATCCTCGAAAAAGAGTCAAGCACGTCCACCGATATTCTACGGCATTGCCAATGTGAAAGTTAATGGCCCGGATTCACAAAGGAGGTTTGTCGACAAACCTAGGTTTATGTGCGTCATAATGATGCATTCCGATGCGTTTCACTCAAAGGTTCAAACAAACCTTGGTCTGAAACCCTTTAAAACGCGTCATATGACGCACATAAACCTAGGTTTGGCTACAAAGCACCTTTGTGGATTCGACTCCACAGCTTACCTGATAATCATTCGTAGTTGGTGCCAGGAACCTTGCGATGTACCACTGGTTCCCTTGATCGGCGGACTCACTCCAGCTCGGCAGCAGCTGCAGAATGTCTTGGCCAGTCTCCACGATGTACACATTGAGCGTACCGATGGAACTCCCGTACATGTGATAGAAAAACTCGATACAATGGCCACCAGCAACCTGGTAGGTCGGCGACCACAGACGAGCCACTTCGCCTACGATGCGAGGGGAGGAGGACTCGATGAACATGTAGAAGCCTGGAAAGGAAGTAATTAAAATAAGGATACCATTTTAAATATCTCGATGAGATCAGTTTTCAAATACACAGTATCTAAACATTGTTAAACATGATGAAAAGCTATAACTTGAAAAACAAAATGTTCAGAAGTTTAAATTTTCTATCATTTATGTAAATTTCGTGGTTTATCTAAAATGTATGCAAGTAGTATTGTAAAGTATTGTAAAACAGAAAAGCTATGCAATTGTTAAAGCACTGCTAATTAATAAATAAATCATGTTTCACTTGAATTATGTAGGGTTGTCACGGTAGTATTTCATTTGATTTTATATGATTGTTTGATTTGTTCAAAAGTGATTTTTTTTTTACCCCCAAAACCAAAACATAAGATAAACAGACGCAAATTAGAGAAAAGGAAACACGTAATACATATTAACTCAGTAAGCAATACACCAGAAGTGGGAGAAAAAGAAGAAACAGAGAAGACATAGTAAACGGGAAAAACAAGAAACCCAACACAACAAAAGTAGAGGTGGGTGAGGTCCAGATTTCCCGACATAAAATCTACTCAGAAACAACAGTATTGATTTCCGCCGAGCCTTCCAAAGTGTTCTGTTTGTTTGAGTGCGTGTGTCTGTGTGTATGTGTGTGTGTGTGGGGGGGGGGATGGAAATGGTGGGGTAGGGGGTCGAAACAAATACCCATAGTATGTTTGTCTTTCAAGGGGGTTGCCATAAGCACCTCGTAATCCTTCTAATGTGATACAAGAAATCACAACGTACCAGCCGCCGTTCCAAGGGTGTGGTCATTGGGCGGGCCTGTGTCTGTTGAAGGGGTGTTGGCACTCTGTCTCAGCCAATCAAAATCATCGCCGCTCGTCTGCTGGGTGTATCCACAGATGTTCGGGTCCTCAAAGTCACACTGGATCAGGGCTGGTATTGATGAAGGCTCTGGAGTGACCACCACTATGGCAAGGTAAAAGGACAATATAATGTGACGGTAAACGTCGTAACCTTACGCCCTGTCGGGCGCCACTTACTTTTTGAATATGTTAGAATTTGTTTTCCTTGTGACATGGGCACAATTGATTACGTGTCCCTACTTTTAAATGTGATTAGTTATTGTAAATGATTATGACCATCGAATGATATGTTCTTATTCATTAAATCAATTATCATATCGTAGCATCTGTCATCTAACTAAACAGATTTAATGGTTCTAACCGTACGTATATTTCAAAGACATCATCGCTAAACTTTTTGCGGACAGGATTAATTTATAGGGTTAAAATGATCACATATTGTTCTTCAAATTGGCAACAATAATATTTTTCTTTCATCGCTACAATGATATAAGAACATGCATTGTGTCTCTGAAAACAATATACACAGGCGGGATTGCTGTTGAAATAATATAAATGTTATCAGATTTGATCGAATGATAATAATTTTATTCTCTCAACCTGTTGCAAATTTACGGATTTTAAACTTACTTCCCCTTTTTTTAAATTGCTAGCATCAAAGGCAATAAAGTCGTGAAACCAAAGTAGATGCAAAGTGTGCATACATGTTTGTCCTTTCTATTCGTGTATCTAAGAGAACTATGCAGGCTCTGAATCAAAGTTATCGAGCCAAACAACAAAAAATGGAATGATTGACCCGGAAGGGTTAACACGACTACTGCGAGAAGATAGGCCACTTTTATAACGTAAATTTTATATGCTCTTCAAGAGAGTTTCCTGTAAGTATTGCATCAGACCTTGCGGACAATATCCTGAAAATATGATGATGTCATCGATAGCCATGTCACTTGTAAAACTGGATCCGATCACGCCCTCCACGGTGACTTGAAATCGATCTGTGTCTGCACGTGTGATATCCAACTGTAACAATGGAAAAACACGTGACGCTAATATACATTTTTGTCCAAAAACCATGGCACATTATAAAATAAAATATCTTTGTTTTTGGCTTTTGATATCGAACTATAAATTTAAAAAAAGGGAGAAAAATGATAAATTATGTTCATGGATTCATGCAACATCAAATATGTCCTTAATAAATGTATCATTTTACTAGACGACAACGCTTCTCTAATGTACGTTCAAGTTTGTTTTTATTTCTATCCTGATTGATGCCACTACTTCTGCCCATTGACCTCAAAACAATGACAACAATATTATTCCTAATTTTTCAACCAATCTTTGTAATATTTCAAGAATTGTTTCGTTTCCTGAATATTCCCCCTTTTTAAGGGGGGGGGGGGGGTGTAATGTGGATAATAACCAAAATCACTTTGTTTCACTGATTACAAGATACAACTCTGAGGCAGGGGAAACAAGAAATCAATTAATATTGTATACCCTATAGTCCTACTTTGAAACAATATTCCAAAAAATATTATGTATTGAGTTTATGTAATGTCGGCACATTGACAAAGCCGATTGGAAAAGCTACTGCATTAACAAATGCCTCAATCACACCTCTGCGTATTTGGCTTGAGTATTGCTGCGTATTTATGGTAAGCCGTTTTAACATTTATTCATATTTCTTGATATTGAGAAATTAATTTTTGATATCAAGAATAACCATTGCTTTACAATAGAAAATCATTTCTTGATATCAAGAAATAAGAATAAATGATAAAACGGCTTGCCATAAATACGCATAAATACGAAAGCCAAATACGCAAAGGCGTGACTGGGGCACCTGTGCTCACCTGGCCGAGATTCCAGCCATCGCCTTGTGTTCCCGTCATCTGAAAGAGGGGACTGCCGAGCGGGTCACCCACTTTTGAGACGTAGACGTTTAAATTGCCCATAGTCGCCCCATACATATGGTAATAGAATCGAAGACATTTTGTCCCGCCGGCGACGACCTGGTTATATGGGCTGGTCAGACGGGCGATCTGCCCCGGAACTTGGGGGCTGGACGATTCGATGTATGCATACTGACCAGCTGAATGGTAGGTAGGATAGATATAGAGAAGGAGGTGTCAGGGGTTTGCCTTTAATACAGGACTGCGCCAACGATGTTATTACCCCTTCTCCCATCCCACTCTCATTAGGTCTATGTTTTTTCTCTCCTTTTCTTCTTCTTCTCACTCTCTTTCTCTTTCTCCTTAGCTCTTTCTGTCTCTCTTTCTGTCTCTCTCTCTCTCTCACACACTCTCTCTTTCTCTCTCTCTCTCTCCCTCTCTCTCTTTGGAGTGTCGGAGTGCCATTTGCAGCCCGCGGATACGCCACTGTCATTGTTGCGTGCTTTCTTATCCACGTGTCATCAATGTGTTCGTTTAAATGTTGCTGCGTCATCAACCGTTCCAAACGATGAAGAACCTAATTCCTTTTTCGTAATGTGCGACGTGATTCCCCTTTCTACTCATGTTACATCTTTATTTCGGTATTAACATACGAATCACTTTATACGCATAGGCCTATGCCAATGTCGGGGGAGGGGGGGGGGGGATTATGGAATATCACTTTCTTTCTCTCGCACACAGATGCCCACGTGTGCACATACGCACAAAGAAACACACACACACACACACACACACACACACATACATGCGTATTTATATCAAGTTTTATAAAAAAAGGGCCCTGGGACCCGTTTCACAAAGCCTTTTTCAAATGACATATGACAAAAATCAGTGACAAATCTATTGATTACCAATCAGAAGCAAGGATTTCAGTAGCTTATAGCAAAAATTGTTATTTGTCACTGATGAGAAGTTTTGTGAAACGTCCACCGGCCTCCGGTCTAATCCTGATTGTGTACTGGTGGTTCTCACCTCTTGTAGTGTGGTCTGAACTTGGTCCTGTGTCAACTGAGGTGGTAGGACCAGATAATAAGGTCCAATCAAACGCGTCTGTTAAATCTTGGGTCCATCCACACAGTCCAGAATCGAAATCACAATCGAACTGGGCACCAGCTGTAAAACAAGAGATATTAAAGATATAGATTAGTTTTGAAAACGCCCCCTCCCCCCAAAATAATTGGAAGCTCTTCATACCAATCATGTGAGATAATATATTTTGACTAATACGTGATGATACAAATTTTGCCGGGAAACCGCCTATTAATTGATATATTTGGTAAATTATCATGTTGATCCGGCCTGGATAGTTATCGCTAATGCACCTTAACATTGAACATTTGGGCATATATTTCTGTTTTTTGCGAATTTAGGTTAAAAGGAATGCCATGGAGCTAATCAACCCGACAATGTAATTTCGCCAAGTGAATAGGAAGACAGCACTTTGGTACTATATTCTATATAGTTCAGGTCGAGGTTAAAGTCATTTTTTTAAGCCTTGGGAAAAATCCGAACGTCTTGTGTGAATTTGACAATTATGTGTTCACAAGTGTATTTTTTGCATGAAGTAAACCGACCTTTCTAAGTTCGGAAACAACCGGAAACAACGATCTTGAAGCATAATCATACCCTCTCGCTATCTGCAGCTATCTATATGCAATTCGATAATTACCAACGCGTCCCATGGCAACTGGAGCGCGAGTGCTTCTGAAGAGAGGTTAATTCCCAAATTAACGATGCCTAAATTAATATTTTATTCATCTTTCGGCATTTTAAGAGGACTACTGTTTGAATGCCTCATTCTGTGTAAGTAAATACAAAGAGAAAGTACGATGAGAGTGGAGCAATTTTGGTTTCGCTCTGCACTTAAGATATGAAATTGGAGGTTCAAATATTGAGGGGGCGCTGGTTGCTTGTGCCTCTTCTCTATGTTCAAGCCGACGAATTGAGTTGGAGCTCTGATGACGTAGGGTGGCTTGAAACACACCCAACCCAAGCTTCCTGAAAGCTTTTGCGCGCGGCCAATCTTCGGGACTTTAACTTAAACGAACTCGCCGATTGTAAAGTGTAAAAACTGCTAGCGTGACACTAGGTAAATACAAGTGGGTGGTTTCAACATCTTCTGATTTTCTTGACGCCTTGGCTGATCGCTTGTCAGTTGAGTACTAGTTTCAAATAGAGAAAGCAATTTCTGATATCAAAGGTAAGTCCACTTATATATTCCATCATAACTGAATCGATACTGTATGTGTTGATATATCATACACTGCCTATTATGATTAAATTATAGATCCATTTATTTAAATAATCATAATTGTTTTTATCTTTATCTGTCCTACTTTATATATAGTAGAACTAATTATTATAATAACAATTATGATTATAGTTATAATTCCTCTTTTTAAAATAACGAATGACATGACTTAATATTATTAATGCCCCTCTGCGCTTCGTTAACCAAAAATTGAAATTATAATAATAATAATAATAATAATAATATAAAATGCAGCAGCGCTTAACAACACAACCTGCCTTTCAACGAATATTAATACTATAAATCAATTGCTCGTCGAAGATGTAGATGTGTCATGGTATAGCGGTTTATTCACTTAAATCTCATTCAAAGGGTAGATGGTTCAAATCCTTGCACCGAACTAGAATCCTATATACATTAATCCACATGTGCCCTGCTTGAATGAATTCCAAGTATTACTAATGAGGAAAGAAAAAATGTAATGTAGATGTTTTGTGTATCATTTGTATCATTTTGATTATTATTAATATTGTTACGACGTTTGTCGTTATTATCATATTTATATTTGTTAGTATTATTACCATTAATGTTATTATTATTATTATTATTCATATTGGTATTAAAAGCAGTTATAAAGGTTGCAGTAGCAGAATTATTATTGTCATTATTATTATATTAATTATTGTTATTATTATCGTTGACATTATCATTAATATTATTATTATTAATATGCATCAAATTGCAACAAATATAGAAAAACCCAGAAACTAAATTGTTGTTGAACACTTTTGCTCATCATTGCACAAATGGTATGATTCCAGTTGTATATCTTTGTAAAGAAGGTTAATTCATGTTTAATTTCAAAATTAAAGCGAGTTAAAATAGAGAGAAGAAAAAAATGAATTATTATCAATGATTATTCTTTTTTCTTTCATATTTCTCCTTCTTCTTTTGGTTCTTCCACTTTTCCTCATATTTCTTTGTTTTCTTTCTCTACTTCTTTTCCTGTTCTTATTCTTCTTCTCCTCTTTTACTTCTCATTTGTCCTCTTCTTCTTCCCTTTCTTCTTCTTCATTTGCAGTTCAGGCCACCGTAACGTGTATCGTCCTTGCGGTGTTTTCATTGCTTGAAAGATCGAGGGAATATCCCTTGAGTACGTCTGTCACCATGAACTTAAACTCGACAGCGATGGAAGGGGCGGAGGGTGCTGGAAGCTTCCTGCCCATCTTGCTGTACAGCCATACCGAGAGACTGATTGGATTGGTGTTACTGCCTGTGCTGAACCTCGTTTACTTGTTTTCCATCGGGTTCACTCATTACATCCTTGCCACGTGCCAAGGCGCCCGGGGGAACATGCAACTCTTCTTTCGTGCAGCGACTCTCTTAGATGGGCTCAGATGCATCTCTTTCTTCATTGGTAAGGCGCTCGAAATGACCCAGGCGATTTCCGCGGTAACCGCCATCTGTTGGGTGCGACCCGTGTTCAACTTCGTGTTCCCTTTTCCTACCATCATGACTTTCATCTGTATCCATCTCGATCGGTTGTTGATGCTTACAAAGCCGCTCCGTTACCATTCCCTGGCGAGTCCCCAACGAGCCAGGAAGGTCATCATTTTCATATCCGTCACAGCCGTCCTGTACATGATGATCTTCTTACCCATTCCAGGTTTCCCATTCGTTGTTTGCCCCACCCAGCCTCTCAGCACCATCAACGCCACTCTTCATGACGACATCATTGCTCGATACTATACGCTCGGCAGAAGAAAGGCGCTTGTTTTCGTCATCCCAATTTACTTGGGTGTTGTGCTACTAACTTTCAGCGGTGTTTGTATAGGCGTTTTGTCCTTCAGACAAGCAGTACATATTCGCCGGGAGTTTCGGCAAATAAATGTAGGTCCTGCTTGCGTCCATCGACCGGTCCCTGTATCAAAAGTTAAGGGCGTGGTTACAGTGCTTATAATCACACTGATTTTTTATCTCACTTGGGGTTTCTCGTTTCTACGAATCCAGAACGCAACTCGCTTTAAATTACCCTGGCTAGATTTGCTAACCGGCGTATTGGAGATAATATTGGGTTGGGGTAACATTATGGCGATTATACTGACGAACAGGGATGTGCGCAATCACGCCCGTGTAGTGCTGAATAATATTTTTAATTTAGCTCTGTAATCGAGTCGAATTGCCGAAGAGCATTACACAGAATAACAAAATCAGCTCCTAATAAAATACATTTACATAATAAGTAACGAGATTGTGCGGACGTATAGAGTGATATTGTTTTCTTCTTCAATTCAATGTGGTTTATTAAAAATAAAAGCAGGAGTCAATGCAAAATGATCAGAAAACAGGATCAAAGATTTAAAAAAAATGAAAATTAATAAGAAGTTAAAGTACATAATCATTACAAATCAAAATAACACTTTTATGCAAATATAAAGCTTGTGGGTGAAAAGTGCATCACTTTGCAAACGGAAGCAAAAGATCACTCCATTATTTTGCGGAAAATTAGATGAAGTATCATTTTAATGCACTATACGAGAAAACATATTATTAACTAGTTGTTCCAAAACACATCCTAAAAGATTTATAATATGGCGTCCAAAGAGAACTCACCTTCCATCATTTGTCATGGTTTTAAAAATCGGATGTGTATTTACCAACTACGTCACAGTGAAAAAGATAACCTCAATATACCCGGAGGTCTTAAACCGCCCTAGTACTGAACACCAACGTGGCGTCCATCCTAGAGAATGTACGCCATTCCCCATAGGGTAATTATTTTAAAAGTAAACACTAACAAGTGTAGGAAAAACTGTTTTGTTGTTGTTAATGTAATATAATTATTGTTAATATATTTTGTTAGAAGGTAGAACATTTAACAAAGCTAGCAAACACTAGGGGTCAATAAGACAATCGTTTTGCACTGTAGCCGTTAGAGTTTGCCATGTCATACTAACATGCATACTAGACAATGCTGTACGGAAACTATCACTGTCATAACGACCCTTTGACCTACTCGGTGACCCGACCTCCCCATCCTATACTTGAGTGACCTAGGTCAATCTTTACATTACCGACAATACTAGAGACGACCTGCAAGTACTGGTAAGACGGCATCGTTACCAAGAAAAGTATGAACTGTGTGTGGTGGGCGTTTTCGGACAGGGTGGTATTTGTAATTTGTTTAAATATGATTATAGCATTAGCAATATAATTTAAGAGTATTTAAAGCGGATTTGTTTTCTTGTCAATAATCAATCATGACCACAATAATTTGACGACCGAAGTGGTTACCATTTTCACGCAATGATATTTAAGGATGACATATCCTGATTTTATGTACACCGTTTTTGCACGTGGAATAAGGGACATCTACAAAAAAGTTGAACTATGTTTTGAAATACAAATAGTCCTTATGACAGATGGGAGAAGAAGTTGATAATATCTTTAAAAAACCAGTTATAAGTTTGGCTACAATATAAATCTTTATATATATATATATATATATATGTATATAGTATGCGTGTGTGTGTGTGTATGTGTATGTGCGTGTGTGTGTGTAATTGGTAGAATATAACCTATGTAACAGCTTTGTCAGATAGCACGGAGAAAAATTCAATGCGAGAAGAATTGAGAGGATAATGTTTCTGTAGCTTAAATTAAAGTTCACTATTGCTGTCCTTCCTGTTAGGACATTTTTGAAATGGTAAATTACTACAAGTTAATATTGGTTTTATTAGCTGATACTACTCGTACTACTAATGATTTTACTCCTCCTGCTACTACTAACATAACTGCTAATACAAATTAATCTACTACCATTACTACTAACACATTGACCACTACTACTACTACTACTACT